TTCTAGGCAGGTATTTCCAGTACTATATTGAACAGAAGTAGCGAGAGCAGACAACCTTGTTCTGTGTACAATCTTAGAGGAAAAGCTTTTAGTTTTAGCCCATTATTTCTGTGTTTCTGTGGGCTTGTGGTAAACAGCTTTGACTATGTTAAGAAAAGTTCCCTTTTGTTGAGTTTTTATTAAAAATGGATGCTGAATGTAGTCAAAATCTTTCTCTACATCTATTGGCATGATCATATGATTTTTTAACTTTTATTAATTGATGTGGTTTATTACATAGATTGACTTGTGTACATTAAACCATATTTGCATCCCCAGGATAAATCCCACTTGATCATGGTGTACGATCTTTCTGATTAGTTGTTGGATTTGATTTGCTACTATTTTTTAATACTTTTTAAAATTATTATTAGTGAAACACCATGAGGTACAGATGTAGATTTACAATTTTTTGTGCTTGGGTTTCGATTATACAATGATCAAATACCCATCCCTCCACCAGTACCCATTTTCCACCATGGATAATATCCCTCCCACCCCCATCCCCCCATCCCACCCTGCCTCTGTGGCAGGACAATCCCTTGTGTTCTCTCTTTCCTTTTGGGTGTTGTGGTCTGCAAAAGAGGCATTGAGTGGCAAACATGTTCAGTCCATAGTCTACTTTCAACATGCATCTCCCCTCCTGGGAGGATCCTCCAAGCACCCTTTATTTGGTGCTCCCTTCTCTATCTGAGCTGCCCTTTCCCCTAGAATGCCCAGCTGGCCTCTAAGCTATGGAGTAATCCTCCTGGTATTGATCTCAGCTATTCTTGGGTATTAATCTCATATTTTGTTACTTTATATCCCCCAGATGAATGTAATCTTTCTATGTCTATCCCTCTCTTTCTGACTCATTTTGCTTAGCATGATACTTTCCATGTTGTACCACTTGTATATAAATTTCATGACTTCATCTTTTCTAACAGATTTGCTACTATTTTTGAGGATTTTTGTATTGGTGCTCATCATATGTATTTTCCTGCAATTTTCTTTTCTCTGCCCTTTCTCTGCTTTTGGCACCAGGGTGATGTTTACTTCATATAAGCTGTTTAGGAGTTTGTTTCTTCAATTTCCTGAGAGAGCCTTCAAAGTATTGCCAGGAAGTCTTATTTAAAGGTCTGAAAAAGCTGGCTAGTGAATACATCTAGGCCTGGTTGTTTTGGGGTAGACTTCTGATTACAATTTCAATTTCTTCGAGAGTGATAGGCCTGTTCAGGAGTTCCATAACTTTTTGGTTGTCTTGGGAGTTCAAGTATTTATCCATTTCTTTTAGGTTCTCTCATTTCATGGCATAAAGATTCTCAAAGTAATCTCTGGTGATTCTGTGAATTTCTGTGTTCCTGCCTTTCATTTCTGATTAGGTTTATTAAAGTTCTCTCTCTTTCTTTCTCCAAAGAACCAGTTCTTGGTTTCATTTATCGTTAGGATTGTTGTCTTATATTCTAGTTTGTTATTTCATTATTTTATCCCCCTTGCTTGCTTTGGGCTCCTTTGGGGGTTATTTTCCTATTTCTTAAGTTGTGTAGTCCAGTCCTTTATGTGCATTCTTTCTTCCTTTCTTATGAGTGCTTACATCTTGGAGAATGTCCATTTATATGGAGAAGAACATGTATTTGGATTTTGGTGCATTAGAATCCATATATATATATATATATATACATATATGTATATCCCTATCTTCAATTTCTTCCTTCAAAGCAAGTATTTCCTTACTGAAGTTTAAGAGGTGACAGAGCAGTGTTGAAGTCTCCAGCTACTATTGTGTTGCTAACAATGGTCTTCCTTCATGTCTATTATGAACTGCTTTAAGTATTTTGCTTTTCCCTCATTCTAAACACATGTTCAGATGTGTGAGTTCTTCCTGATGTGTGTGTATATATATATATATCTTAATCATTAGGAAATGTCCTTCACTGTATCTTGTTTTAGCTGGTACCCTTTGGGACTCCTGGATCTTGGTTGCTTTCCTGGCCCTCTGGGACCCTGATGATTTGTAGGTTATTTCCTCTTGAATTAGTCCCAAAGTTCTGTTTTCAGCATTTTATTTATTTTGAAGCCTTTTTACATCTTCTGCTGTTCTACACCACATTGTGAACATCACTGATTTTGTCCTCAGCAATTGTACTTTAATGGTAAGGCCTTCATATGAGTTTTTCTTTTCACTTGACAAGCTTTTCAGTTGTCATTTCTGTTTGTAATTTCATCATTTCTGCTCTCAAATATTTTTGTGTTTATTGACTGTTACTTCCATTGTTTCTTTGAGTTCCTTAATCATCCTTGATAGTTCCTCTCTAAGGTTCTTTTAGAGAGGTTATATAGATCTTTATTACTGTTTGAATTTTCACTTAATCACTTAAATCACTTAACTTCCTGTTAGTCGTCAATTTGCTCAAGCGGGCGCCAGTAACGTATCCATTTGTCCCTGTCGCGTGCTAGCCCAATGGAATCTGTTCGCTCTGGGAACATGAAGAGCCTCAAACCAATCGTTCATGATCTTGACGAAGAAGTCTGACCATCTGGTAGGTGGGCGGCCACGCGATCTTTTGACATCCCGTGGAATCCAGTTGGTAACAGCTCTAGTCCAGCGGTCGTTCTTTAAATCTCATTACGTGATCAGCCCGTCTGATTTTTGACACCTTGGCAAATGAGACAGCGTCCCTGATTCTTGATCGTCGATGGATGTCAGAACTCCGGATTCTTTCTCTCATTTGAGTGAAACGTGATATTCCAAGCATAGCTCTTTCAATTCTTCTTTGGGAGACCTGAATAGCGTTCTCCTCTTGTTTGCATAGGGCCCAGGTCTCTGAGGCATATGTTAATGCAGGAAGAACAGTGGAGTCAAAGAGATGTGCCCGGAGCCGGAGGTTCTTCATCCTCTTAGCTATTTCTTTGACGTTCTTGAAGGCGTTCCATGCCGCTCTCTTCCTCCTGCGCAGCTCAGGTGCCAGGTCATTTGTCATGTTGACTTCTCGACCTAGGTACACATAGCTGTTGCATTCAGAGATGGTTGTTCTGTTGAGAGCGAATGGGGCATCAGGAACGAGGCTGTTTCTCATAAACATTGTCTTTGTAAGATTCAGCTGTAGTCCTACCTTTCCACACTCATGGTCAAAGTTGGCCAGCATTTGTGCCTCTTGGCTGATGTTTGGTGCTATTAAAACAATGTCATCAGCAAAGCGGAGGTGGTGTAGTTGCTGACCATCTATCTTCACTCCCATTCCTTCCCATTCCAGTCGTCGCATGATGTTCTCGAGGGTGGCACTGAAGAGTTTCGGTGAAATGGTATCACCCTGCCGAACCCCTCTCTTGACATCAACGATCACTTCTTTGTAGAATGGTGAGATCCTAGTAGTGAATCCGCAATACAGCTCACGGAGGATCCTGATGTATTGGGCTTGAATGCCCTGATTGGCTAGAGCTTCAATGACCGCTTCCATCTCAACAGAATCAAAGGCCTTCTTTAAATCAATGAACCTGAGACAGAGCAGCATCTTGAACTCCCGAGAAACCTCAATGAGCTTAGTAATCGTGTGGATATGGTCGATGGTGCTGAATCCTTTGCAGAACCCGGCTTGCTCGCATGGTTGTCCTTCATCTAGTGTTCTGCCAATCCTATTTAGGATGACTCGAGTGAACAACTTGTAGATGACAGACAATAGGCAGATTGGGCGATAGTTGCCAATGTCATGGATGTCTCCCTTCTTGAACAGTAGTACGGTCCTGCTGGTTTTCCATTGGGACGGAACCTTGCATTCAGACAGGTAGCGAGTGAAGAGCCAAGCCAGTGAATTGATGAGTACTGACGGCAGGTTCTTCAGGTGTTCAGGTCTGACCTTGTCTGGGCAGGGTGCTGTTTGTTTCTTTACCGACGAAATGGCGTGTTGGATTTCGGAAGGGAGAACGTTGGGAACGACATATCCATCCTGTGGAATTTGGTATGTCGGCAAGTGGACATGGCTATCAAAGAGATTTGAGTAGAAGTCATGGATAATCTTCTCCATTGCCGTTCTGGAGGATGTGATGGATCCATCAGGACGTTGGAGGGCAGTTATCTTTGTCTTGTAGTTGGTGAAGGACAGATGGGCGTTACAAATACTTTTCCCAGCTTCTGCCGCATCTACCAGTACTTCTGCTCTTCTCTCTTTGAGGTCTTCCCTGATCGCATCTCTGCACTGCTTTGTGAGCTCGGATGTTAGCTTGCGGTTGCCTGAGGCATGCGTCAAAGCACGCTGGCGAATTAGCTCAAGAGTTTTCGAAGACAGGTGTTGTTTTGTGGCTATCTCTCTCTTGGCGTTCCTCGGACATTCATGGAGGTGCTGAACCAGTCGATCGTATTCCTCGTCAATGTTGTCAACAATGGCATCTTCCCATGTTGCCGCAATAGTGCCAAAGAGTTCCCAGTTGGTGGTCGTTCTGGGAGTTCTCTTTTTGAACTTTGCAGCCCTTTCTCCCCGCTCTGTGAAGTAGAATTTTGCACGAAGGAGACGGTGGTCCGATCCCGTTTGAAATTTTGGGACAACAGCGACATCGGTCAGGCAAAACCGTCGATTGAATATGATGTGGTCTTGAATTTTCAGTGATACTATATTTTCTCACTAAGCATAGTAGGGTCCTGCACTGTTTTCCAGCTCTGACTATTGCAGTCTGGTGTTTTTTTTGTATGTTGTGTGTGGATAGCTGACTAGAGTTAGGATGTCTTTGTACGCTCATTGTGTGATATAAAGAACTGAAGAAATGTTTGACCACTATATGGCCATGAGCTTCATGTGTGAAATGGTGATCCTGAGGATCAAATATGGCCCCAATGCCATGTGCCTCAGTTTCTCTTTATTTAATCTATTTTAAAATGACTGTTTTGAAAGGTGTGAGATTGAGGTCTGAATTCAGCCAGCATGTGGCTGACAAATATTCCCCAAATCATTTACTTCACTTCATCCACATATCACATTCTCAATTATGTTTCAGAAATCAAGTACTTGAAGATCTTTGTGCTCTTGAACTGGCAGCATGTTTTCTCCTTTTTGCTTAATTTCATTGTGGTTGCCACATTTCTAAGATTAATACTCATATTTTGGGTCAAAGGCATTCTTAATTTCTGGGAAGATGGTGTTTACATTTGTTTCTCAGTATCTTTACCAATATACAAATAAGGAGTCATGCATTTACATCATATTATATACTAGAAGTCACATTATAAAATATTTTACACTTTAAAACATAGAGCAGAGTCTCCTGCCCCTGCGCCTGCCTGTCCTTGCCAAGGCCCCTTGGAGGGGAGTGGGTTGAGTTTTCCTCTCTGCCCCGACCAGGGCTCCGGCAGCCGAAGACCTACAGAACCAGCCACCACCATGCTGAGACCACTCTCCGCACACATGAAGGTACTGGCAGAGGGACAAAGCCACGCGGGTTCCGGGGCTGAGATCTCCAAGCCTACTCGGATTGGGGCTGAGCATCCTCTACCCAGATCCTCCAAAGTCCAGTAGGCGGGGGTCACACCCACCAACTGGCCCCCTGGTGCCGTGTAATCCCATCAATGGCCAAGATTCAGAGACTATAAAACCCAGCTCCCAGAAGCATGCGGCCGCATTCGCGGTTGCGAGACATCTTATCATCTCATTCCTACTTTAGACAAACTGGCAGGCTACCGAATATAACCTGCCCACACAGCAGAATCTGGCAAACTCCCCGTGGCGTACCCAATATGCCAAATACCAGTAACAGTGAAGGGTGTCATTCTCCTAACTCTGAAAGAGCCTTGAATATGGCATTTAAAAAAAAAAATCTCAGGGCTAGGACGAAGAGATGTTACTGGGGCCTGCTTGAGGCAATTGATGAATAACAGGATGGTTGTGATTGATTGATTGTGAAAACATAAAGTAGGTCTTCAGTACTGACCTCAGCTCATCTTATATCACTACAATCATTATTTCCCTTTGAAGAATATTATGCAAATTGGTCTCATGATTTGGAACAGCAACTACTTCAAATATAATTTATTTATTTAAATTAAGGATTAGAGCAATAGCACAGCAGTAGGGCATTTGCCTTGCATGCGGCCGACCTGGCCAACCCGAGTTTGATTCCTCTGTCCCTCTCCGAGAGCCCAGCAAGCTACTGAGAGTATCTCGACCTCACAGCAAAGCCTGGCAAGCAACCTGTGACGTATTCGATATGCCAAACACAGTAATAACAAATCTCACAATGGAGATGTTACTGAGCCCACTGGAGCAAATCGATGAACAACAGGAGGACAGTGCTACAGTGCTACTATAGTAATAGTAATAGTAATTTAAATTAAATTTTTTCATTTTAAAAACTTTTTAATCTTGATTTTTATAAGATTGCAAGTTATACTGGGAACAGCAAGCACTTTCAAACTGGTCATGTTTGAGTTTGCATTATTATTTGTTTTTTTCTGCTTCCTACCTTTGTGACTTTGGCTCCTTGTAATTCATTCATTAATTGAATAAACCTACCTTATGCTGGAAAGTGAAAGAAATGAATAAAATAAATGAAAATTTCATTTTATATTAGGTATCATGGTTTACAATACTATTAATGGTAGGGTTTCTTACACAAACTACTCCCATAACAAATCTTCAGCAAACTGTCTGCTTCCCTCCACTATAGTTCCGGCGTCCACCCTCCCCAGCTGGTTCCCCTCCATATCTTTCCCTGCTATGATAAGCTTTCTACTGAAGACCAATTTTCAGTTTCTGTTGCCTTTGAGAATATTATTACCTTACTATGAAAGAGATTGTTCTGTGTCTGTCAAACATAGTTTAGGACTTAAAAAATTTTACACAACAAAAAACTTAATTAAAATTTATGTTTGCTTACCCATATAAATAGAAATACTAACCAAGGGAATATCTTCTGCACTGGCTTCCAATATATATTCAGATTGTTGTTCTAAGAGAGGAAATTCTAGACAATCAGACAAACCATTAATCTTCAATAAAAGTTCATCTAAAAGATCTTCAAATTCATCCAGGAAGTAATTCTGAAAAGAATTATATTAGATTAGTAAATGTATTCAATAGTCTATTTTCTTCTTTCTTCATTATCCCAAGTATTTTTTAATATAAACTTAATATAACAGTTCTTAAAAAATTTTTTGAAATTTTCACCAGAACTCTAAAATCAGGAGATCTGGGCCCTGGTCTTTACATTGCAATTTATCTTTACATCACGATCACGATCACGACCACCCTGTTGTTCGTCGATTGCCTCGAGCAGGTGCCAGTAACGTCTTCTTCGTCCTAGCCCTGAGATTTTTTTTTAAAGTGCCATATTCAAGTGCCAATTATCTTTACATGCAACTTAATAATTCCTGATGTCATATACATCAGTGAAAATCCGACTTCATTTTCAATTTCACATACAGATATGTATGCACTGTAGCACTGTCCTCCCATTGTTCATCGATTTGCTTGAGCGGGTCCAGTAACGTCTCCATCATGAGACTTCTTGTTACTGTGTTTGGCATATCGAATATGCTATGGGTAGCTTGCCAGGCTTTGCCGTGCAGGTGAGATACTCTCGGTAGCTTACCGGGCTCTCCAGGAGGGGTGGAGGAATCGAACCCAGCTCAGCTGGGCTGGCCACATGCAAGGCAAAATCCTACCCCTGTGCTATCGCTCCAGCGATACAGATGTATATACTCTTTCTTATTAATGAGATCACAAAAGGTTTATATATAAGTCCAAAATGACCAAACTTTAAAGAAGGCAATTATTTTTGGAGAAAGTACATAATAAAGTATGAACTCAATAATTATCACGATCTTTATTACAAATAACTTGTTTCAGAATTGAGCCAGGTTTTGTCTAACACCAGTAATCAAAAATAGTTCAACACTCATTATGCAAATATGGCTTTGATTTATACAATTACAGTCAAGCATTTATACCTAAAATGGTTTGCTCCATGGTTTGTTAAAGTTTCTCAGCTATCAGGTACCAAAAGCAAATGCTTAAATTCTAAAGGGGTTGTATAGGATTTGCGTTGAAAGGAGAAAATCATAATTTCATTTTTCTGACGCTGCAGAGTCACTATAAGAATATAATGAATTAATGGTGGTGAATGGAAATCTATAGTGTTCAGAATGTCAAAAATTCCAAGGTTGCAATAATACTGGGATATAATCACAATCATGGTTGAATCATTAAAAGTAAAATTTTACAATCACTTTGAACATGTTCATTAGTCCCATATCCCTCAGCTTACTTGATTTTCAGCCACTTTCATCTCTTCCATTTTGGGCTTTCCTATAAGGGTGAGAACCTTTCCCCATATGTAGGCAGTCACATCTTTAAGGAGCCCAAGAAATTTTCTTTGAAAATATTTTCTGTTTTGGGCAAGAGTCATAAGAGAACCTCTCAACTGGAGGGGAAAATAATAAGACAAATATCATGTTATCAAGCAAAAATAATTTTTCATTTTGAAACTATAAATGGTAAATCAAATCTTATTATGCTATTTTGTGATTTAGTAAGGCAGTGATTGCTAAGCAAAAATAATTAAGAAAAGAATCTCATGAATTATGTTAAAATTGTTGTAGGGTAAATCCAGCTAATTACCTTAGCTTATTATAAAGAAATAAGCTAAGGTAATTAGCTTATTATAAAGGAAATTACCTTATTATAAAGGATCTTCTAATAATTCTCACTTGAGAACGATGTCTATTAACATGACAAAAACATTACTTCTATAAAATTTGCATTTCATTTTTGACTGTACTGATGAACCTTTTTTTGCTATAGGCTGAGTTCCACCAAAAGTTTGTACCTGTGACTGAAAAGTGTTCAAGACCATGAGAAGGGCAATATGATCTTGATTCCTTTTTAGGCATAAATGAGCCAGTGATGGCCATGTGGAATGACAGGTTTATTTATCCAGTGAAGTATAGTACATATTAGCACAAAAGTCTGCAGGAACCAAACTCAAAGGTCAAAATGTTCCATTACCAACCCTAACTAAAAATTAATGAGGAAATTCTATCATCTCATAGAAAAACTAATGCAAAATATTAAAGAATTTTGAAAATGGAATTGAAGGAGATAGAGAATACAGTAGCAAATCACAGCAACAGAATTCACCATGCTAAAGACTGTATCAGTGATCTTACAGAAAAAGCAGTCTATCCCCAAAAGAGATGGCAATACAAAAGAGATATACAAATGGAAGAAAATGGAGAATATTTTATAGACAGTAGCAAGGGAAATAATCTCTGAATCATAGGAATACCAGCAAAGTAAAGAAAGACTAGTGAAAGAGGCAATAGTTCAAAACTTCCCCAATGACTGGGGGGAGAGCTGTGTGCAGATTCAAGAGGCTCAAGGAATACTCAACAAAACAAATCCATATAGAACACAAAGCCACAATGTAAGCAGAATGGCATGAATCAGAGGAACATATTACTTAACAACTGCAAAAGGAAATTAAAACCTCAAATACAGGTGAAACAACATTAAACTAATAACAGATATCATATGAAACTGTACAAGCAAGAAGATATTGGGATGATATATTCAGAGTACCATGAGAAAAATCTTAAACTATGGTCCTCTATCCTGTAAGGCTGACATTCAGATTTGAGGAAGGATTAAAATATTCTTAGAAAAGAAATAGCAAGACATCTGCTAAATTATCCATGTCTACAATGAATATTGAATGACCTCCTATAAAAAGCAAATGTTCAATTAAAAATATCTATAGAAAAATGGCAACAAACTCATTTTTCATGTATTATTTTTCCTTTATTACTCATATTATTCTTACTTTAATGTTAAACTGGATCAATTTATTCCAATGAAGAATAAACCAATCCTGCAAGTGACATACATCTTTCTGGTGTATTGCACTTTGAGTTTGAGAGGAACTGTAGCACCATAGCACTGTCCTCTCATTGTTCATCAATTTGCTCGAGTGGGCATCAGTTTTTGGTATATCCATTGTTTTTGGTATATCAAATATGCTATGGTAGCTTGCCAGGCTCTGCCATGTGGGCGGGATACTTTTGGTAGCTTGCCGGGCTCTCTGAGAGGGACGAAGGAATCAAACTCTTATCGGCTGCATGTAAGGCAAACACTGTATTCACTCTGCTATAGCTCCAGCCCTTGAGAAGAACTATCATTAAATTTGATTTATATGCTTGGGTAATATTTCCTTTCTTATCTAGATAGCAGTGTCTATTCAGATGTCTATTGCTGAGTTTTTGTCACAACTCCCTTTATTCTTTGTCTTTTTATACAGAAGTTCTAAAAGAAAATTTAAACGAGACAAACATAAAAGGATTGCTAAATGCACATTAAAGAATAATATGTAAACAAAATCCCATAGTTAAGTTAGAATGGAAGGCTATGGAAAGACTGGGATCATTTTAAGTAGATATATCTGAATCAAAAGTTAAGGTCTCAAAGTCATAAATATATTCCAAATTAAAAGATCAGAAAAAGACAGAAAAGGGGGGGGGAAGAAAACAAAAAGATAAAAAAAATAAAATTCATTTATATCAGTTATTTCTCTGTCAATAGACTGAACTCTTTTATTAGAAGGCACAGAGTAAGGGACTAGAGAAATAACACAGCAGGTAGGCCACTTGCCTTCCCAATGGCTGACCTGTGTTTGACCTGACATCACATATGGTCCCCCAAGCTTAGCCAGGAGTAATTACTGAGAGATAAGCCAGAGTAAGTCCTGAGCACAGCCAGGTCTGGCAAAAAATAAAATAAAACAGAGGACGGACATATGAGGAAACAAAATATAAGTATTTGCAGTTCACAAGAAACATATTTGAATTCATGGGGGAAGAAAGAAGAAGGAAGAAAGAAGGAAGAAGAAGGAAGGGGAGAAGGAGGAAGAAAAAGAAAAAGGAGGACGAGGATGAGGAACAGGAAGAAGAGGAAGAAGAAGAAAGACAGTTATGTAGATCAAATAATATTCAAGCAAAAGAAAGCAGTTAAGAAAGGAAAAGAATGGAAAAGAGAAAGGAAAGAACAGAACTCACTGTTTAAGAAAGATGTAGATCAAATAGTCTTAGTTCTTATCAACATAGTTGCACTGAGTGAAGGGCAGCAAAGTTTATAAACTTCTGTTCAAATAACTTAAAAGTTATATTGATGAAAACACAATAATAGTGGAAGACATACCTTAAAAGATATATTGATAGAAACAATAATAATGGGAGACTTCAATACCCCAATTTCACTATTAGACAAATCAACCAGACTGAATATCATTAAAGATAAAAGCACCCCAAATGAAGAAGTGGAAGAACAGGAATAAATTGATATATGCAAGGCTATCCTCCCTCAAAAAGCTGAATGCACATTCTTTTTAATGCACACGGATCATTCTACCTGTGGACAGACAACATATTAGGGCATATATCAAGCATATATAAATTACAAAGATATAAATGACATCAATCAGTTTCTAAGACCATGCTATGCTATAAAAGTAGAAATTAACCATAAAAAGATGGGGAAAGCTCCAACTGAATGCTAAGCAAAATGTTGCCAGATAACAACTAAGATCCAAGAGAAAAATCAAATAAAAATATTTATAAAGATTAATGAAGAAACAATATGTCAGAATCTATGGGCACAGAAAAAGTAATTCTAAGGGGGGAATTAAGAGAAATACAGACCTACATCAGAAAGCAGAAAGAGCTAAAATCAAAAACCTAATCATATATGTTAAGAACCTTGCAAAGGAATAATTCATGAATCCTGATTAGTAGGTGGAAAGAAAATATAGAAATTAGATATTTGGGGGGTCACATCCAGCTGTGCTCAGGGCCTACTCCTGACTTGTACTTAGGTATCATCTTGGCAGGTTCAGGGGACTATGGGATTCTGGGAATCACATCCAGGTCAGTCACCATGCAAGGCAAGTACCTAATATGCTGTACTATCTCTCTAGAGAAGAAATCAATGATATAGAAATCAAGAAAAACAATGAAACAGTCAATGAAACCCAAAGCTTTTTTTTTTTAAAGAATAAACAAAACATGGACATCCTTGTCTAGATTCATGAGGACATAAAGATAAAATATGTCCTCAAGTTTTTTTCTACCAGATACCTTGAATCAGAAATGGGAGGAAAAAAATTATAATAGACCTCTCAGAAGCACAATGATTATGAGAGATTATTATGAACAACTTTTCAATATTAAGCTGGAAAACCTAGAAGAAATGACATACTTTTAGAATGACATAACCAAGAAAAACTGAATGAGGGGGGAAGCAAATCTTTGAACAGGTCCATCTAAATATTTTTAATATTTCAAGGGAATATTAACTTAATATTTCAAGTTCCCTTGAAATATTAAAAATAGCCTGAGGAATGAAAGCACAGATTGGCTCACTAGTGAATTCTGCCTAACCTTAAAAGATTACCTACAGGCATTTTGAGGAAAGACGAGAAGATGGTGATGGTGCAGCAGCAGGCAGTAGGCTGCAGAGCTACTGCAGCTCTTGGTGTTGTGACATTGGGCTGCGGTGTGGCAGAATTTTGCATGACGATTAGTCTTCTTCGGGCCCAGATTGGTACCCCCACAGAGTGTGGGCCTGGAATTGAGGGGATGCCCCAGGTTCCCGCCATGAGGGGCTGGCTTGGATGTCCTTGCTGCCACTGCTTCCCAGGCACAGTCCTCACCACCGGAGCTGCCCACAGCATATCAGGGAGAAAAGTCTCCCTGAGCGACAACTGACTGCAGACTGGGCCCGAGTAGGGGAGCATGTGGCCCAGGCTCACCCGGAGCTCCCCAAACCATGCACAATAACTGCACTGACTACGGTACTGGTCCAGATGAGGGCCTTGCTGCTGTCATCACTGGGATCCAGGGGGTGCAGTGCCACTGGCAGGTCAACCTGCTGGTGCCTTCAGGCTTCCTCAGAACCCAAGTGGCCTTTATATCTCTAGCTGAACCTCAACAACTTGGGACCCAGTTTTCCAAGGAATTCAACTGCCAAAATTTAGATATGTGGGAGCCACGTCCACAAACCACCTCCGGATCAGCTATACAAGCTCATTTGTGGACCTTGCTCTAGAGATTCATAAATAAATCTCAAAAGAGATAAAAAAAAAAGGCGCAGTATATTTTGGACTCACACATGGCTGAATTATCATGGAGGCACATCTAGGGGAGGGGCATAGCCCAGTGCCTGCCCAAACAGAGACCCTGGAAGCCACTTGCTCCCACAATCCAAAATCACTGCCATGCCTCTGGGTGGATCCCACCATCTTGAGACAGACCTCACTGAGATATTAATCTGCTGAAATTTCGGGTATGCAGGTTTTGTGACCAAAATCTCCAGGCTTTCTTGGGTAAAGGATGGGCTACCTTCTGCCCCTCCCAGTACTTCCAGAAGCTGTGGAAGTCATGCCCAACCTCCAAAGCTGCCACCCAGTTAAAAAAGCTACTCCATCTGTACCTTCCCAATAGAAATACTGAACAAACACGGTGACTTCTTAATTGCAAACTATAATGCACAAAAAGAGAGAGATAAAGAGAAAGAATTTAAGTGTCTGCCATAGAGGTAGGCTGGTGGGTGGCAGGGTTAGGGAGGGGAAAACACTGGATGTTCTGACTTATCTTAAATAGAACAATATGACACGGTAATTGAAGGCATTTGAACCTTCAATTGGCCCTAGATTATCAAAAGGAAAAGGGCAGGGAAAGAAAGAAACGAAGGGAGAAGCAAGAGGAGGTTGTCTGGAGGTAACAAAGGGGCAAGGTTCAGGGATGTTAGCCACATCTGTGGTGTAGAGATAATGTATATGTTTATATCTAAACCTCTAGACCACAAATGATTGTAAGGATGGGACCAAAACTACAGTTAAACTTAAAAAATGTATCTGTCAAGAAGTCAGTATGGGGGTGGGAGTGAATCTGGGGTAGGTGGTGGAAGGATGGGGATACAGGTTCTTGGACCTGTGGTAGAAACACTGCAAACAGGAAAACTTATTGTAAACTATGTAAATTAGTGTCTAAATATTTTTATTTATGTGCCAGTTAAGGAGGCAGTCTTGGAGTTAGAGGAAATCTGAGAACATTGAGGGAGGGATGCTAGTGGTTGGGCTGGGTTTTGAATCGGAATATTGTATGTCTGTAACTCTCTAGTGGTTGGGCTGGGTTTTGAATTGGAATATTGTATGTCTGAAACTCTCTAATTGAAAGGTTTGTAAATCATGTCAACTAAATAAAAGTCAATTACAAGTTACATGTTGGCATGTAAATCATGCCAACACCTGTGTAATCCCATCAAAAGTCAACATGATTTACATGTTGGCATGTAAATCATGCTGGCGCCGTGTAATCCCATCAATGGCCAAGACTCAGAGACTATAAAACCCAGCTCCCAAAAGAGAACAGCGCAGAGTCTCCTGCCCCCTCGCCTGGCTGTCCTCGCCGGGGCCCCTTGGAGGGGAGCTGGTTGAGTTTTCCTCCCTGCCCCGACCAGGGCTCTGGCAGCCGAAGACCTCCAGAACCAGCCACCACCATGCTGAGACCACTCTCCGCACAGATGAAGGTACCGGCAGAGGAACAAAGGCATGTGGGTCCCAAGGCTGAGATCTCCAAGCCTACTTGGATCGGGGCTGAGCATCCTCCACCCAGATCCTCCAAATTCCAGTAGGCACCAACTGGCCCCCTGGTGCCATGTAATCCCATCAATGGCCAAGACTCAGAGACTATAAAACCCAGCTCCTGGAAGCGCGGCCGCATTTGCGGCCACGCAACATCTTTTTTTTTTTTTTTTTTATCTTATTCCTACTTTGGACAGACTGCCAGGCTACCAAATGTAGCCTGCCCACACGGCAGAGTCTGGAAAACTCCCCATGGTGTACCCAATATGCTAAATACCAGTAACAATGATGGGTCTCATTCTCCTAACTCTGAAAGAGCCTCGAATATGGCACTTTTTAAAAAAATCTCAGGGCTAGGATGAAAGAGACGTTACTGGGGCCTGCTCGAGGCAATCGACAAAATAAAAGATAAATTTAAAAAAAGACTTACTATAAAATAATAGTAACTTTAATATTATTTTTCACAGTGCCAAAGTAAAAGATTAAATGTTACAAAAGACTTACTAGAATAGGATTTTTTTTGGTTGGCAAAAGAACAGATTAATGCAATAAAAGGCAGAAACCCAGGTGTAGATGTCACATATATATTCAACTTCCTTTTGATGAAAATATAAAAGGAATTCTAGACAGAAAATAAATAATTATTTTTGGCTTTTTGGGTCATACCCAGAGATGCACAGGGGTTACTCCTGGCTCTTCATTCAGAAATTATTCCTTGTGGTGCTTGGGGGACCATATGGGATGTTAGTGATTGAACCTGGGTCCGATGTATGCAAGGCAAACACCCTACCCACTGTATTATTGCTACAGCTCCAGGGAGGAAATATTTTCAAGAATGAATGTTGGCTGATGGAGCAAAAGTTTTATAAGATTTAAAGACTAAAGTAACAAGTCAAGAATATAACGAAATTATGTAAAGTTAGGTTTTGGGAAAAAAGGAATGTGACTTAAAGCTGAGAGGTCCATCTTCCTTGAAAGCTGAGGGGCCCAGGAGTCTTTGGTGTTGTGGAGATGTTTTAGGCTGCAAGAGAGCACAGCCTACTACTTAGCATCTGTCTAGAGCTGGGTGATTGGATGGGCTCAGGATAACAACAACATGGAAACAAGCTGAAGGAAAGAGCATACCAGCCTACAGAAGAAACCTTTGCAAACCTTGATTTTCAACATCCTGGATGCATCCACATACCATTCCAAACCACACGGGTATCACTAATATGAAAAGAGCTCCTTTTCCATAGCACCAAGCCCTGGAATGTTGATCATATATGGAGGATCCAAGGAAGGAATCTCTTTGGCTTCTTCCTGGAAAATGAAACAGCTGACCATAGAGGGATTCTGAGAAGGTTCCAGAAGTCAGAGCCTTGGTGAAGAGCAGAAATCCATGTAGGTGGAAGTAGGCAGCTAGCATCAGGACACACACAAGCTACAAAGAGAAAACCAAGGAAATGAACTCCCTGGGCCAGTTCATTGTGTTTGTCCCCCCTCTGAGCTATACTCCGGCCTCTCTCCCTTATGGGGTCCCCACTTCAGCTCTGTTCCATTCATTTCTTTTTGTCAGTGCCCAGCCCAGCATCCTTGTACATGCCTTCCTCTGTGAAGTTACTTTTCCTTAGGTATCAGGGCTCCATCATTTTCTCTGCACTGCAAGCTGCCAGAGCCCCATCCAGACCCCAAGCAACCTTCTCATCATCCTGGTAGGCTAAATACCTGGTGCCAATTAATAAAATAGATCATTTAAAAACTATGGAAGAGCCATCTTTCAGTTTATTTCAGGAGAAGTCTTGTCTGGTTGTTGCAACAGATTGGGTGCTCAGACTGGAAGGAGGGGCTGTTTCATGTCATGGGTTCAGAATACAAAGAGAGCTGAAAATGCAATGTGACCATAGGATAGCTGCCTTTCATGTTAAAGGATTCAATCCCTGGCAATCACAAAAAATGAAAACAAAACTGTGTTAAATTCCTGGCATTCCCCACAAATAAAAACAGAAAAGCACTCAGTATACAAATTTACTATTCTATCTACATTTGTATCATAAAACAGTTTTCTCCTGAAGGACAGATCATTAATCCACTGTTACAGGTCTACATGGGTAAGTGTGATGGGATGTCATCACAGGTAGCTCCCTGAGTACACTGCACTTACACAGAGGCTTTTTCTGGTCTCTATTGCACATTTTTTCCTAGCATTATTTACCTGAAAGTAGAATTTCACCCTCCCTGAACTTTAAAAAAAAGCACTATCTTGATTCCCTGCATTTCTTTTCTCTTCATTCATAACTTATTCTACTTAATTTGGATATAATTTATTATTTTACTTTTTTGCAAGAGAAAAAGCATTTTTCAAGGCACTAATTTGTGTAGTAATGTCTTATTTAGCAGGTATAAAGGCACACAATTGCTATATTCCAGAGTACATTTCAGGCTTGTATAGAAATTATGGTCTATTAAGTTATGAGATTAAAAAAAACATGTGGGCATGTGCAGGGGATTCAAGCTTTCAGTGGCTGAGAGCTGCCTCCCCAGACTGAACAATGGCAATGGGTGGGTGAAGGACAGAGTAATGGAGAAACAGGGCCCCAGGCTGGTTGGTAGTCAGTTTATTTCTTTCTCCTCCCCAGCCTAGTCCAATTTCTCCCCTTAGAGTGCAATCATAGTCGTAGTTTTGGTCCTAGTCCCAGTCATCATAGTTCCATCATCCCAGTCTCCTTGTAGACCACAAAGTCCTCTCCTTCGTTATATAACCCTCTTTCCCCTTACAGAATAGTTATATAGAAAACATGAAGAGTGAGGGTACACATAGGTGGGGTTGAACATCGTCATAACAACAAACAGAGGTAAAGCCACTCCTTCAGGGGAAGTTCTAGGGGATTAACTCAAGGACAAAAATCTCACCTGAGGGTTCAGCACTCCAGATTAGTAGGAGATCTGCTCAAGGGTGGAATTCCATCTAAGGTGTATTGCTTTCTCTTTTCCTCAGCTAGTAATCCATTTAAACAATTATAGTGAATTTACTTCTTATAATATTTCTAGTCATTTTGTATGAACACAGAGATATATTAAGCTTAAAATTTGGCTTTTCCTAGGGATATCTCAGACTTCAGTTCTCAGGCCAGGTTAGTCTTTCATAACCCTAGCAGGATCTTTATTCAGTTATTTCTTTTTGGGTCATGATAGAGTTTGTTCCATGATCATTTCTTATACTTATGACACTCGGATTGTTCCCTTTCAATGCCAGGGTAGCTTCAGCTTGCCCTGGGGCCAACCAGTCCCTTTGTTGGGACCCTGCATTTGGAGAACTGGGAACTAAGGACAACTATATGGATGCCCAGGAGTAAATATTATTTTGGAGTCAATTAACTTCCATGTTACAAAACATAGCATGAACTGTCCTCCTATGTCTAAACAAAAATCATGATTGCTAAGTCATGCAAGTGACATAAATAAAAAATAAATACAATTAGTTAGTGTTAGTGCTTGATGGAATTGGGTGTGCCTCAGCTGCAGTGCTGTGAAAGTAACTCAATAAATCTAAGCTCCCTGTGGGAGGAGCAAGGGCAACCCAATTTTATCCAACAGTAAATGGTCCATGACTGCAACGGTGGGGCCATAACAGTGCCTCTGGGACTCGACTTCTGATTTCTTACTTGTAGTTTTTCTGTTTCCGTTGGCTGGTCTATTTTTGAGTGTAAAGTCAGTTGTGTGTTGGATCTGAGCTCATTTACCATGTCTATACAAGTCTGAGACACAAAACCAGATCCTCTTAATAAGGTTTATGGAGGGACCCTTTTCTAACCCTGATGACAGTCAGTTAAAGTGGAACTGGGGCATAATAGAGCACTGAGCTGGAGGACAATTTAGGACCTTACCCTTTAGGACCTGGTCAGAATCACATACATTTCAGGGACTTTGTAGGATTTGGTTTTTGTATTGTTATTTTGCTTTTTGGGTTACACCCAGTGATGCACAGGGGTTACTCCTGGCTCTGTACTCAGGAATTACTCCTCGTAGTGCTCAGGGGACCATATGGGATGCTGGGAATCATACCCAGGTCAGTCGTGTGCAAGGCAAATGCCCTACCTATTTTTCTATTGCTCCAGCCCCACTTTGTAGGACTTGGGCCCTAAGCTTCACCCAATTTGAACAGACTGCAAGGCAGCCCGCTAAGACTTGGGTCCCTAAACTGGAATCAGGCTTTGAGAACCTACGTTTATTTGCTTATTTCTGTATTCTTTCTCCTGACTTTTTTTCCTTGATTTTCAGAGATAATGGGTAATTCCACTTGGGGAGTAAATAGCTCTAAGTTCTTATGTATTTATTGGGAAGTATTATAGGCCCATTATTTGGCACAGTAAAATGGGGGCCAGGAGACTTCTTTGTGATGCAGTGTGGAATCTAAGTGCTCAAGGATTATGACCTAAGGCAAGCCTAATTACTTCTCACCAGCCTTCTGTTACTTCCTCTGAAAAAGAATCAAGCCTAACCACAACTTGCTTGTGATTATTAAGTGAGGTTATTATTTAATGCCCCAACTAACATTCAGGACATACTTATTTTCTAAATACCACTTAATTTTTATATACCAAATGCCATTCCTAACATTTAAGAAAGGCTTTGCAGATGAATCTTTATTTGGAACAACAATAGTACACCATAGGAAAGCATAGTACAAAGCAAGTGTTTAATAAGTCTCAGTTAATGTCATAACCACAGCTTGTCATATAACTGATATGTCATGGGAAACCACCCCATAATTGGTTAGAAGACTGTAATTACTAAAGGGGCAGACCTGGAAAGAGGTTTGTTTTTCCCTTAAGAAGGAGCTAATTGAAGAGAATGCACTGATCACAACTGCTAATTGCAGGTAACTCAATGACAGAGAGATCTTACCCCTGGTGCAACGACAAAGGAGAGTGAGAGGCGCATGAATGCCGTTGTCTCTCGAATGCCAAGTAAACAAAGGAATTTCAGTATCAGGAGAAAGGAAACGATTCCTTGGAGCCATCTTGCTCTCTGAGACAGAAAAACATAGTTTAGTATTTTGTGCCAACTATGGAGAAACAAAAAAATCTTCAGTCACAGGAGGAGAACACGCAACAGGCATTTATCGAATGTGATCAAGTTCTACAGACCATGAATTTATGAGAGACAGAAATGTCAAATGTCTATAATGAAACTGAATTGGAACTAGCTATTGATAAACTAGGATGCATTGTCAGGGCCTAGTGCCCTAATCACTTCTCTTGATGAAAAAGTTTAGAGAGAAGTCGGGTAAGGGAGGGGGCTACGTTGAAGGCTGAAGGTAAAGAAAAGTCAGCTCTACTCCCAACAGGATGTCAAGCTCTTCCTGGGTCCCACCATATGTGCCCTTTGCACAGAATGAAACCCACTCACGGGGACACCCTCTCAAGAGCTTTTTACTATGTAAGAACCAGTTGGGGGAGATGGAGCTGAATGGCAAGAAGGCCTGCCCTTTCCTGAACCTGAAAGTTCTTTGTAGAGAATTTATGGAGAAGACAAGAAAAACAATACAGTATGCATCTGGGAAAAAAGAAACTAAAAGGTGGTATCTAAGCAAGTCAGTGAAAGTCCTTCCCTAATGCAATCTTAGAACCTGGTACCTCATATCATGTAATGGCCATTTATGGTCATTAGGGAGCTCAATGATCTTGAGTTCTACTACACAAATTTTACATGGACTCCAGGTTGCAACAAGCGTTCTAATATTCCAAGTCCTTACTGTCCATACCATCATCATCCACAATTTCAGACAATAGTTTTTTACTATGAAACATATTTGGTTTTTTTAGTGATAAAATATGTGCATTATCTTGTTAATTGTAAAAATAGAAGCTATCAATTTCTTCCAGTGGACTTTGCACATATAGAAAAAGAGACACAGCTTTGCGGTGTTGCTTGTTCTTACAAGGTGATATATTGTATCTGAACAAGGCTCAAGGATGTAACTGATAGAACTTCTTTGGAGATCTGTATCCTGGGCACAAGTTGTTGGTTCTTATTACTGACCCCATGAACTGATATATATTGACAAGATATCTAGATCTGATACTGAAGTAGCTATGAAAACTCACTCTGTTCCCTGAAAAGATTCTATCTTCTGATATATTTCAAGGACTTTCTGAGTAAGCCATATTCTTTCTCTCTCTCCCTCCCTACATCCCCCTCTCTCTATTTCACATGTTTACAGTAGTGTATATGTTTGTTATTATTTTATTTTTGGGCCACACCCAGTGATGATCAGAGCTTACTCCTTGCTTTGCATGCAGGGGTTAAACATGGTAGACTTGGGGGACCATATGGGGTGCTGGGAATTGAACCTGGGTCTGCCATGAACAAGGCAAGTGCTTTACCCACTGTAATATTACTCTGGCCCCTGTCTATTATGTTCACAGTTACACTCCTCTCCACCCTGACCAAAGCTCCCAGGACTCTATTAATGTTCTTATGTTTCTTCCAGTTCACCTCATCATTTCACCTACTTACTTCATGCTTTGCTTAGTATTCTCACTAATCTAAGGCCAAGAGTTAGTTATCATTTGATTCTGTTTCCTTGTTTTATTTTTCCACATACCACAGATGAGTGAGAATGTTCAGTATTATTCTCCTTCTGGCTTATTTTCCTTAAACATGATGCTAAGGAAAACTTCCTCTTGCTCTATCCAAGTTTCAGGGAACTGCAGTGGTTTCATCTTTTCTTATGGTTGCAATAAGAAATATTCCACTGTACATTTATGCCACAATATTTATTTTTATTTGTTAAGCAGTAGGGAGTTTGCCTTGTGTGCAGCCAGCCTGGCTGAGCTGGGTTCGATTCCTCCGCCCCTCTCAGAGAGCCTGGCAAGCTACCGAGAGTATCTCACCCGCAAAACATAGTAACAACAAGTCTCAAAATGGAGACGTTACTGGGCCTACTTGAGCAAATTGATGAACAACAGGAGGACAGTGACAGTGACAGTGAATTTTTTATTGAATCTCTCTGAAATAGACACAAAGCTGTTCATGATTTGATTTCAGTCATACAGTATCCCAACACCCCTCCCTCCACCAGTGTACATTTCCCAGCACCAGTGTCCCCAGGTTTCCATCACCCTCCAATCCCTACCTGCCTCAATGGCAGGGACTTTTCTTCTGTTTCTGTCTCTGTGTCTCTCTTTTTTACTCTCCTTTTGGGCCTGTGTTTTGCAATATTGATACTGAAAGGTTATCAAGAATATCTCTTTACCTATTTTTGACATTGAGATCTTGTCCAGCGTGATTACTCCCAGCTATTATTTTCACACATCTTATCTACTCTCTGCCTGCCATACATACTTGTGGTGGATTCCAATCATTGACCAGTCCTCCTAGCTCCTGCTTTCCCTGGCCATGGCTTTTAGTCTTCTACTATATATTTTTGTATACCACAAGTGAATCAGTCATTCTATATCAGTCCCTCTTTTGACTATGCTACAAAATTTTTAATCTATTCATCTATCACTGAAAATTTGGAAATTCTCATTTTAAACTTTCTAGAGTACATATGAACTTATCTTTCGGATACAATCACAATTTCTAGACCTTTCATGCTTTCCAGAATTTCCTGCCATACCTGATTGCATGAAGCCATATGACTAAGGTCCACAAATCCTTGAAAAAGTCCTTTGTGTAACTGGTCCATCACTTCTCCAGTGAGAGTAAGGCAGTGGCTTGAGGTTATATGGTAGACAAGGCTGGCCCCAACCACAAATAACTACAGGGTGAAGGAGAGAGGGCCATAAGATAGACGCATGAGTAGGGGATCAACTTGGAGTGAAAATTATTTACAAAAAGCACTACCAGGACATATGACCTTAAGTGCTAGTTTGCCATTCAAGTGTCATTGGGATAAAATAGCAATAAAGTTAAAAATAAGGTTAGAAATAGTACAGCATCAATAGCCCACAGAAGTTCTTTCTTTTGTTTTTAGACAAGCACTTTTATTTTTCATAAAGAAAATGACATGAGAAGCTACCTCCAGCCAGTTCCTTGGTTTTTGCCAATAGCTGTAGACACCTTTCTCAATCATGTCATAAAGTTCAATGCAGAGTTGAATCAAGCTGAGTACCAGGAGAAGCAGCTGATGAAAGGAATGTCAAAAAAAAAAAACAAGTAAACAAAAATACTGATATATACATACTTATATGTATATATTTTTATACTTTTATTTATATAAAGGTAAAGGTAAAGGCCTCCCGTTGATCATCGATTTGCTCGAGCGGGCCCAGTAACGTCTCCATTTGGAGACTTTGTTGTTACTGTGTCTGGCATATCGAATACTCTCGGTAGCTTGCCGGGCTCTCGGAGAGGGGCGGAGGAATCGAACTCGGGTTGGCCACGTTGGCCGCTTGTAAGGCGAACGCCCTACCTGCTGTGCTATAGCATTTTTTCTTTTTCTTTTTTGAGTCACAGTTGATGGTGCTTGAGGGCCATTTAGGCATCAACCCTGGCAGTGCTCAGGGGACTATATATGTACGGTACTGGGGATTCAAGCCCATGGTCACAGCCAAGGCAGTCATATGTAAGGCAAGTGCCTTACTTACCATACTGTCTCTCTGATTCGGATAAATTGTTTTCTTAAGGTCGACACTTCTGTTTGGCTCCCCTGCAAACACCTTGTCAATAGATACAAGGCAAACTACTTTCTTTTTTTTTTTCACATTAATTAATAATTTATTTTAAATAATGAATATAAAAAGCAAACAAGAAAAGATACATATTCAGGAAGGGCAAGGGCTTAAGAAAGCAAGCCCAGGAGCACATTTTAAACATATTTAAAGTAAATATATATTTTAATTTTTTAAATTTATTTTTATAAAGTAGTTCACAATATTTGATTACATTTAACATAAGAACACCAATCCCACCACCATTACACTTTCCCACCACCATATTGCAAAGTTTTCCATCCCGAACCCCAATCTCTGCCCCAAAGCAGAACTGAAATATTTTGTATTGTTGTTATGAATAACTCACTGAAAAAGATCCAAAAAAGGTTTCTTAGAGGAAATTGTGTAAAGATTGTTGTATTTCACCTAGGAGCCATTAAGCCCTTCTATAAGAGATTACTAACATGCTGTTAAAGGTTGAGCCTTGTGTGCTTATGTGTTGTGTATGTGTATATATATATATATATATATTTATGTAAAAATATGTTTTCCCCTAAGATTGGTTGCCTTCTATTCTAAATCCCATCAAATGTGGTTCTCTACTCTTTCTTATTCTGCAGAGTTGTGAAGCATCCTCTTCTAGGATAAGGTAAGTGTGTGTGTGTGTGTGTGTGTGTGTGTGTGTGTGTGTGTGTGGTGGGGGGCTGTTTGACAGCTCTTCACTCATCAGTCACTCCTGTAATCCCATTATGCTGGTCATTAGAGATGTAAACAGGCCCACCGGGGGTCTCAGAGAGTATGATTGTGGCACAGATGCCTACACATCTTCTAAGCTTCAGGATAGACCTCTCCAGTCTTTCTTTAATACTGCTGAAAAGATTAGTTTTTATATGTTTGTCAACTATACAGCCTATTTCCTTAGCTAGATAAAAATTTAAAAATTAAAATCTTTAAATTCCTGACTAGACTCTTTATAAAATCCTGCTTATGGTTATCTCACCACTGACATAACCGTTTCATTGACATAACCCATTTCCTTCCTTCCTTTCTTCCTTCATTCAGAACAGAGAGACATGAAGGAATAGAAACTAAACTGTTTGGAAGCAGTTGGCCTCAAATGAGCCTCTAGGTTCCTCCAGCGAACACCATTTTTTATGCACAATAACCTGTCACTGTCACTGTTCTCCCATTGTTCATTGATTTGCTTGAGCGGCCCCAGTAACATCTCCATTGTAACAATTGTTACTGTGTTTGGCATATCGAATACATCACGGGTGCACAATAATATGCTTATTTATTCTTTTTTTTTTATTTTATTGAATCACCGTGAGACAGTTACAAGTTTTCATGTTTGAGTTACAGTCACACAATGATCAAACACCCTCCCTCCACTAGTGCACATTCCCCACCACCAATATCCCTGGTATAACCCCCCTTTCCCACTCTCCCCCTGCCTCCATGGCAGACAGTATTCCCCATACTCTCTCTCTACTTTTGTGCATTATGGTTTGCAATACAAACACTGAGAGGTTATCATTTTTGGTCCTTTCAGCTAACACTTTTAAGTAAACTAAAAAAGTCCAAACAAACCAAAAAAAGACTTGGGTCTTATTCTTTGCTCTAGGGAGAAGGGATATTTTATCAGAATAATATCCCCAAGAATAGAACAAAGATACTAAAACTGCCTTACAGAATATGAGATATTTCACAGAATGAGATAAGTGAAAGAGCATTCTGTGAATCCCAATCTTGCTATGAAGACTGTAGGGTTAACACAAACTTCCTGTGAGCCATTTGAATGCAACCATCCCTCCTGTACCTAAAATCCATCTAGTAAAAGTGTTCTGGGGCCTATGAAGAAACTCTGATTTAGACATCAATTTATGAGAATCACAAACACACCAGCAAGGGCTTTGGCATTTCGTCTGCCTTTTTTAAGGTCCATTGCACTTTACTACACTATACTACCTACAGCTAAAATAAGGGCAAAGTTCAAATTTGCGGTTTATCGGAATTTATGAACTAGCAGTGCTATGCCAGTCATACAGGAACCTGTGACAAAAGAAAATATCGGTACCAATGACTCTGCCTTTGTTTAAAAGTTTGTTATTTTATTCATTATGAATTTTCGCTGCTTATCTGCAAATTTCCAAAAATAGTTCCCAGAATATTATCTACCTAATAGCTGAGTATTGTAGTCCCTACATTTGAAATCTAAAATATTATGTCGGACAGGCCTGATACATGGCCTTTCTCCTTCTACCCACACTATTTGGGCTTTGTCACAGACCCAAACAGAAAACAATCACTCAACTATCCTTGAGGTCTAGAGTTCACTATATACCTTCTAAATTTCACAACATCTAGACTCTGCAATACCCTGAGACAAGGCATACCCAATCTACAGTCTTTTCACAGCATAAAATGAAAATATAGGTCAAATTAGTAAGTTTCCCAAATTTATAGTGTTTATAAAGTTCATAATTACCTTGAGTGATTTCCATGACATGTCTCATGGTTCTAAGCTTGTACACTTGCCCCCATATCATATATGTAAGCAGTTACCCATATTGAAGCTGGGGCCTCTAAGAAAATAGTGCAGGTGAAGTGAGCTTGTAAGTTAGGTGCCTATACAAGATGAAACAGTGTCCAGAGATGCAGAGAGCTGGTAGCTATCTTAATCCAAGAAGAGAGTCTTTGTCAAAATATGAGCATACCATCATGTTGATCTCAAAATTTTAACCTCCAGAACTGTGTGAGTATAAACTGATAAACTCACCTCGAGAAGCGTTCTGTAGGACTGCAGGGATGAGTTGCTATGGAAGATGGTGAAAGACTCCACCAGAGCAGAGAGGGTGAGTCTCCCAGTCGGAAGAACCTCTGCAGTCAATGATACACTTGAAAAGAGTTGAGATGGTGGGTTATAGAGGGAGAAATATATGGACACAGCCCTGGTTCCATGGTCAGTCCATTTTCTGGCCCTGAGGTCCAGCAGGGTCTCTTGAGTGGCAGTCCTGTAGAGCAGAACGTGTCAGGGGGCAGTAGGAGCTCATATCTATCAATGCCCCAGGGCATCTGATATAGCTCTTGGGTCGACAAGGGTGTAGATCACCCCTATGGTGTGTCTACTCATTAAAAAGTTTATTGTCCTCTAGTCCCTGCCTGTGGACTCACTAGGAAAGTATATATCCTCTAAAGGGGAGAGGTGTCTAGGGAGATAAAATCACCTCTCCTTAGAAAGTAGAGTATTGACAAAAGAATCTTGAAACTGAGCAGCTCACTGCAAAGATGCCTCTGGATTTTGAGCCAGGCCGATTTCACCACCGTGCCTCAGATGGGAGCAGGTATTGTCCCTCCACCTGGCCCCTAGGAATTCTGGTGTCCACCATCTTTCAGAACCCAGTGAAAAACCCAAGTGCTTGGGGTTAGGGACAGCAAACTCGAGGCCTCATAGGATAGGGGATGGGCCTGTCCTTCCCATATCCCTGCCCCCATGGGGCCCTGGATGTCATGCCCATGAGCTGCTTCTGGCGACTACTTAAGCTCATTAATGTTCATGATCTAGAGCACACAAGAGAATCTTGGAACTGAGCATCTCACTGCAGAGGTTTCTTCTGACCCAATTATCTGAAATTTTAGATTTCTAGGAGTGCACAGCCGCTCATCCTATGTTATTTGTAGTGGGCAACACAAATAGATTATCTAGCAACTGCCTATTTGGCAGGTTTGAGTGGTGGTGGGAAATTAAAAATATTGGTGATGGGAAGATGTGATGGTGGTGGGACTGGTGTCGAAATACTGAATGTAATACATTAATGTGAACAATTTTATGAAAATTAAAAAAATAAAAAAGAAAGTAGAATATTGATATTTCTTTTTACCTCCTTGGATTTTTTTCATTATGTGTCCCACAATTACTAAATGATTTCTTCTTTATATATTTCTGTCTGCATTACTCAAAGTTATAAATTATTGGATCTGCCACAGTGCTTCCTGTAAGCTTCAGACCATCAGTATTACTATTATATATTAGCATAATCCCAGGGATGTGTGATGAAAATTGAGCTCCCAGTAGGAAGGACCAGTAGAATCTGATTGTGTAAGCCTTGGCAGAACATAAGTGGTGCTGACCTTATTTATAGAAGACATGTGAACACTTAGCACAAAGACAGCACATAACAAATATCCATTAGGTTCTATGACTTCCAGACCTACTTGTAAATTCTAGAAGGAATGTTGAGCTTGTCCTTTTCTCAAGCACTTAGAGAGTGAAGGCCTCAATTTGTATTTTATTTTTGCTACAACACTCATGCTAAGCCTTGCTCTCACCAAGGGAGAACAGGCACTTATATTCAGTCAGCCTCATTCTACAGTAAGGAACTGATATAGTAAATCAAACTACCTTGTGCTGCCCAGATTGAACTCGCAGTCATCCCTGTAGCTCCCAGCTACATTCTGGATCTCTTGGTCAATCATGGAGAGAATCACAGGGTCTCTGATTCTGGGATTAAGTGTGGGGAAAGAATCTTGGAGAGGCATTGGAAATGAACTGGAAAGCTGTCAAATAAACCCCAAGTGGATGAGCGTCAGATGGATGCACATATCAAGTTGGAATCTCTGAGTCTGGCTGCACGTGGGCATATAGACTATACTGAAACACAACTCCTTTCCCCCCACAACCAGCCCTTCTCCTCATGTACCAGTATTCAGCTTGAAATGGAAGGAAAAATGCCCCATAATAGAAGGAAAGTCTAGCCTGTTACATTCACTAATCTGGACGACACAGACAGTGGATGTCCATGGTGACACAGGTAAGTGCCCACCTTCTTATAACCTCCTCAGGAAGCAAATATGAACAAATTTCAATGATAATATTTTAATTTCAAAAGTGTAAGATAGAAACATCCTGTTTCTGCATAGAATATCAGATTTCTGGAAGGCTAAACAGAGAACTGAACAAATGCAGTAGAATTCCAAGGGTCCAAAAAGAGACTTGGGAGTTTCAAAGAGATGAAGGAAGGAGGCCAAGATCACAGATCTCCCAATCCTAGAATAAAATAATTCATATAAAGTCTTTAGCACAATACAGGATACATATTTTGTTTTGCAGAGCTTCCTAGTTTTAAATGAAGGTGGAAGTAGTGTTTGTGAAATTTTGACTCCTATAACTACCCTCCTAAATTAGAAGTCATATTTTACTTCCCCTTTAATACGTTCAAATGCTTAATTTTACGTCACAGCCATAATGCTTTCAATTTGCCCAAATGAGTCATATGGCTGTGGGGTTTTTTTTTCTGCCTAAACATCTCCTATATTTTTCTAGTTCAATGTATTTTTAGAAGTTAAATAACAGAGAACATGTCTTACCTTGCATAGACTACCAGGGGGTACTTTCATCTGTTTGATGACCAAAGTGCCTATTAGGTAACACTTTCCTCCCAGAGCCATGGGCTAGAAGGAAAAAGGAAAGAAATATTGTGAGGCTGAAAAAGAACCTCACATGCGCCATGACAGACTGCACTTCAGCAAAACAAGGAGTAGGCCTAAGTTTCCTTTTCCCCAAAAAGAATTCCCTGAGACTGTCCTTGACCAAAGCTGGAAATGCCCTACACGCCTCTAGCCATCCAATGATAAGTAGGATATCTCTGGGCACAGCAGGTGGCCATGACCAATAAGCGCACAGATTTGTGACTGCTTTGTCGCAATTCTTGGGAAAACTGCCAACGTTGCTTATGTAACCATATGCCATATAATGTTCCCTGGAACTTGGGTCAGGGTCCTTGTCGAGACTCCATTGCATTGGATGAGTCTTGGACCCTAGCTCGAGCTAGCAATAAAGGTTCCTTTGCTTTTGCGTTCTCACTTCTGGAACTGGTCTCTCTGCGTACGGGAAACCCAGAACCCGGTTATAACAATATGGCTAAATATACTAGATATACTGTCAATTCAGATCCCATCTTGCAGCAGCACTAATGGACATGCTCTGGTAACTTTAGTTTCCAACTTAAAAGTTGACTTTCCCTTTAACATATCTAAAGATAACTAACATCTACAGAAAGACTGTTTCTTGTACTAGAAATGAACTGAAATGAAAATCTTGTTTGCAGAGCTTGTACCAAATCAGAATGACCCTCTTTTATCATTTCCTAAAATTCCTCCAGTATAATTCAACTATAAATAATTAAAAATAGAATTCTGAAATAAACAGTTGAGTAATGAGAAAGTCATCAAGACTTTTTTCAAAAGTTATAAAAGGAGACACAGGCAAAAAAATAGGGTTGTCATACAAAATATAGGTTTGCTGGAAACTTTAGAACTAGGACAACCTCACCACTTTCTGAAATCTGCCTCAATTCCTCATTTTGCATGGCCATGTGATTTTTCTTCTTGTTCTGAAATACCCCTGTGTCCTTAATCACAAAGTTCTGTATGGTGAGTCTTCAAACTTCATTTGCCCAGGATCTCCTAAGAACTCCCCCACCCCAACCCCTGTGCCCATCAGTATTCTGGTATGAAGGAGCTGTGTCACTTACCTAGTCGCGAGGGATGGAGTTAGAGTGCAATTGTCAAAGAAAGATACGGAGCTCTGAATACTTACTAGTCAGAGTTCCTGACTTAAGATCAACACTAATTTTTGAGAATGACAGTACAGAGTTGTAAGTCCAATATTATTTCTGGGGACTCAAAATTAGGTAGGCCTTGCATGTGGTCAATCCAGTTTTGATCCCTGGCACCACGTATGAATGATACCACTTTGAGTGATCTTTGAGTGCAGAGCCTGGAGTAATCCCTGAGCATTGATGGACATGGCCTAAATACCCCCTCTCCCCAAAACCCCAAATAGTATTTCTAATCATTTTATATGGTTTTGGATGATGGCTCAATAGTGAAAGGCTATGGAAACTCACCCTAGGGCCTGGTGTGTGAACTGCAGAGGAGTTTTCTTGGTACAGGCCATCCAGCAGTGTGGTCAGACTCCAGTGCCACCAGTCATCCATACTTCTCAGACCACCAATGGAATGACGCACACTTCTTAATACAGGAATGGAAAGAAGAGATTTTTACTGGGGACACTGGTGCTGGGAAACTGGCCACTTGTGAAGGGATTAGTGTTTGAACACTGCATACCTAAAACTCAATCATGAATAACTTTGTAACTATATAATTCACAGTGATTAAATAAAAATAAATTTTTTATCTCATATAAATTCCATGCGTTCTGCAAGAATCAAAGTAAAGCCATCTTCAAAATGAGGTGGAAAACCCTGTAACATTTTGTAAGAAAAAGTATTTTTAGGTAGAAGATTTTGCATAATAGAAAAGAACTGGTTTATTTACTCAACAAACAGTACTTTACTCAGTGGGAGGCACTTTTCTAGACTCTGGGGATACAAACTTAGATCTCTATCTCTTATGGTAAAAGAAAGAGCAAATAAATATATTGTTAGTGATAAACACTAAGAAGAGAAACTTATCAGGAAAGGCAGACAGGAAAAAGAAAGGGGTCAGTGGGAAATTTAGTTGAACTGCTATGAAAAACTTCACACTGGGGTGTTTTGGCCAAGACGTACAGGCAACAAAGCAAGAAAATTTTATACTGAACAGGAAAAAATGGGGACATATCTGTGAAGTTAAGTGAAAACCGTGCAGTGAACAAAAATAGAAGAGATCAAACCACAGGAAACTGCACTACTGCATTTGAGTTTAGTAGATGACCTTATTTTAGCTCTCTATTCCAACAAAACAGAATAGATTCCCATCGAGTCAAGTGGCTGTGACTCTAGATGAGAATACACAGGCCAAGTGCAGTATTAGTACCTAGACAGGGTCAGTAAAAGTAGTCCACGTTCTTTCAAATTAACTCATTTATCTTTTTAAGTAACTCATCTTTCAAATTAACTGTTTTATTTTCATTCAAATTAACAGTTTAACTTTATAACAAGAAATAACAAGAGAACTGAAGTAATTTCAAATTGACAAAATTATTATTTCTAGGTAGACAAAGTGATCGAGCCACATGCATGGTAAAAGCTGTACATTGGGAATAGATACTGGGCTCTAAGTGCATCCATGGGGAAGAGTTAAACTTCCTCAGAGAAAGGAACATATTTCTCACTTTTCTTTGAGAAACATCTTCACATGTTAAGGCGAGTCTATGTGTTCACCAACATCTCCACTGCAATGAGAAATGAGTAGGACAGCCATTGCATTAAGGTTCTTAGCATGAGACAGGGAGACACAATTTTGCAAAGTGGTAAAAAGTGATTTTAACACGTGATCAAATACACATAATTTTAATGGTCTTGTCTGTTCTAGCAATCAAATCCAGGCCAATCCAAGAGTAAAATTGTTAGTGAGAAAGCAGATTTTCCTGTGATGGTGGGTTCTTGAGTACTGTATGAAAAATTTGCATACAAAATTTAGAGATTGAAAGTTACTTTATTGTACAGAAAAAGTGTACAGGTCCTTCCCCAGATGTCCAGCCTCTCCTTCACCTGTGAACAATGACTATGATCTGACCCTGACACTGCCTGGTCCTGTGAATGACTTCCCTGTCCTGTGATGACTTCCCTGTCCTGTCCCACGCTGTCTACTCACCACCCATGAGCACATTCTCTGTCCTGTTCCATGCTGCTCTCTGTCCTGTCTATGATTTATTCCGTCTCTTCCACAGCTGCCCAAGAAGGTAAGATCCCTGTGTTCTGTACCGTCACTGGGCCTCCCGGCTGTACTCTAGCAGTTTCTGTCATCTAGTTCTGATTTTCCTACTCATTCCTTACAGCCATGTGTATGTGGGTGAGAGTCCTGTGCTTAATGCCTTGTCACTACCTGGGTGTCTTTATTTGGGAATGACACAGCAGGAGCTGAGCTGTAGAGTGCCAAGTCACTTTGAATTGCCACCCATGGAACAGGTAGCCAATCAGAAAGTAGAATGGGATGGCTGGGGGTGTGATTTGTTAGCCCATAAAAGGAAGGCCGCCAGCCCCAGTTCTCTGGCACAATGTTAGAGCATCGATGCCTCAGGAAATGACCATAAAGTGCTATTATTATTATTATTATTATTATTAATTTTTAAAGTTTAAAATCCGATAGTTGTTATTAAAGACCGTACAATTTGGAGGCATCCCCAGGAGGGAAGTTACTTCTGCACAGCAACCTCAACCCCACTCTGCTTGACTGCGTGGCCAGGCCCAGAAAGAGGCTTTCATGTACCAGCAGGTTGTAGGACTAAGAAAACATCAGACCTGTTTCTTCTTGGCTGCTCATTGCAGCTGCATGAGAACTGTACTGCAACAACACTATTAAAACAAAGGACCTGTGCACACTTGCTCTGGAGCAGAGGTACCAGGATCTTGTAGGCATTTACACACCTGAAGCTTAAAAACAAGAAATAACCTCTGGACATAAGGTAAAGGTAAAGGCCCTCCCGTTGATCGTCGATTTGCTTGAGCGGGCCCAGTAATGTCTCCATTGGAGACTTTGTTGTTACTGTGTTTGGCATATTGAATACTCTTGGTAGCTTGCCGGGCTCTCCGAGAGGAGCGAAGGAATCGAACTCGGGTCGGCCATGTTGGCCGCTTGTAAGGCGAACACCCTACCGCTGTGCTGGACATAAACACCACCATTAAACAACTCCCATCCTGTCTAACCCTCATAAAGCTTAAACAATGTAACATAAAGAAAAGGGAAAATGTAAGAACCCCAAGAAACCCAAGACAACAAAAACCCAAGTGGACAACCAGTGCCATCACATCTCTGTAATTTTCCTGAAGAGTCGTTCAGGACAACAATCATAAAAGGACATGCAAGCAAAGAGTCAATGACCTTGAAGAGAGTCTGTTGAAACAAATAAAATATATTGTTCCAATAGAAGTAACTAAACTTAAAAATGCATTAGGAAACTTTATAAGCCATATAGATGAAGTGTTTGGGACTGGACCTGCCAGTAGCTAGACAGTTACACCCACCAACTGCCGTGTAACCCCAACAACGTCCAGGATCCAGAGATTATCACACCCAGCTCCCGGGAGAGAACAAGGCAGAGTCTTCTACCCTGTGCCTGACTGTCCTCACCAGGGCCCAACAGCTGAAGACCTCTGGGCCCCAGCCAAGGCCATGCTGGGACCACTCTCCACACACTTGGATGAGCCTCACGCATTAAAGAACTTGCAGAGGAAGCCAGGTGTGTGGGACCCGGGGCTGAGATCTCCAAACCTGCACGGTTTGGGACTGGACCTGCCAGTAGCTAGATAGTTACACCCACCAACTGCCGTGTAACCCCAACAACGGCCAGGATCCAGAGATTATCACACCCAGCTCCCTGAAGCACGTGGCCGCATTTGCGGCCGCGCGACATCTTATCATCTCATTCCTACTTTGGACAAACTGGCAGGTTACCAAATGTAACCTGCCCACATGGCAGAGTCTGGCAAACTCCCCGTGGCATACCCAATATGCCAAATACCAGTAACAATGAAAGGTCTCATTCTCCTAACTCTGAAAGAACCTTGAATATGGCACTTTTTAAAAAAATCTCAGGGCTAGGATGAAGGAGACGTTACTGGGGCCTGCTCGAGGCAATCGACGATGGTTGTGATAGATGAAGTAAAAAGAGGAGAGGCATATTTGAAGATACCATAAACAAATACATCAAGAAAAAAGAAGAAATAGAAAACAGATTTGACAAATTTGAGAACTGAAGAGTAAAAGTGAAACTGGAGCCAGATAATTAGTACAGTGAGGAGGGGATTTGCTTTGTATGTGACTGACCCAGGAGAATTTGTTGAGGAACGTGGATGATAGCAATGGGATTGGTATTGAAACATTGTATTTCTGAAACACAATCATAAATAAATTTTTAATTCATGGGCTGGAGCGATAGCACAGCGGGTAGGGCGTTCGCCTTACACGCGGCCAACATGGCCGACCTGAGTTCGATTCCTCCGCCCCTCTCGGAGAGCCCGGCAAGCTACCGGGAGTATTTGATATGCCAGACACAGTAACAACAAAGTCTCCAATGGAGACGTTACTGGGCCCGCTCGAGCAAATCGACGATCAACGGGAGGGCCTTTACCTTTACCTTTTTTAATTCATGGTGACTTAATGAAAAAATTAAAAAAATAGTGACCCCAAATATCAAATGCATAGGAATCAATTTAACAGGGGCAGTGAAACACATAGTTAGAATTATAAATAGGGCTTAAGAGAAATAGAAAACACCAGGAGATAAAAAACATTCCCTTTTTATAGACTAAAAGAATCAGTGTCGTTAAAATTATCATCCTACCCAAATTACTATACAGACTTAATGCAATTCATTAAAACTCCAATGACTTTAAAAAAGATTAGGAATAAACTTTAATAATAAATTTAAATAATTTAAAACCATAATAATTGTACAAAACCATAAAACTCCCCAATAGCCAAAGCAATCTTCAGAAAACAAAAGGAGCGGAGTACTGCATTTCCCAACTATAAACAAACTATAGTAAAAAGATGTATGGTATTGGAATAAAGACAGATTTTTAGACCAGTGGAATAGAATTGAGAATCCTGAGTTAAGCCCTGAAACTTATGGCTAGCTAATATATGACAAAGGAATTAAGTATATGAGATGAAACAAAGAAAAATTCCTTTAACAAATGATGTGGGGGAAACTGGATAGACACATGAACAAAATGAACTTAGAACTGCACCTCACACCCTTTACAAAACTAAACTCAAGATCAGATCAGAATCCATAAAATACAATGAAGGAAACATTGGCAGAACTTTCCAGGAATTTGACCTCAGAGATTTTTTAATCAGATGAGCATGTTTGAAAAGATAAAAAAGAAGAAAAATAAACAAATAGGTCTATATCAAATTAAAAAGATTTTATATAGCAAACTAAAGTCAAGCTCTAATAAAATGATACCCAATTGAATGGAGAAAATATTTCTATACATCAGATAAAGGGTTGATATCAAAGATCTATAAAGCACTCACAAAACTCAACAACTGAAAATTCAACAACCCCATCCATAAAATGGGGTGACACTTTTTATTTCATTTATGGGACAGTGGAGAGGAGACTCTCATGAATCTCAATCTGATAATGGCAAATGCTCTCAGAGAGTTGAATAAGATGTCCGAAGGGTTCCTTCCTCTCTTGTAGTGTGTCTGTAGTAGCAAAGACAACTATTATGTTATTGCTTTAAGATACTTAAGTTTGGGGCTGGAAGCCTGCTTCATGAGCAGAAGGGAGAAGGCAGATGGAATAGAGAAGGGATCACTAAGAAAATGATGACTGGAGGAATTGGTTGGGATGGGAGATGTGTGCTGAAGTAGATAATGGACCAAACATGATGACTTCTCAGTGTCTGTATTGCAAAACATAATGACCCAAAGTAGAGAGTATGGGAAATATTGTCTGCCATGGAGGCAGGGGGAGGGTGGGAAAAGGGGGGTATCCTGGGGACATTGGTGGTGGGGAATGTGCACTGGTGGAGGAATGAGTGTTTGATCATTGTGTGATTGTAACCCAAACATGAAAGCTTGTGACTATCTCACAGCGATTCAATAAAATTAAAAAAAAAATATTGGGCCCGCCCACTCCTCTCTGGAAAGAAAGATGGCGGCCGCACGGGAGCCGTGTGGAAAGCAGGATTGAGCCGGGCTTGGGGGAGCGGCGGGGACCTCATGGGAAGGGGGGCTTTGTGGGCCGTCCCCCATGCCCCACCGAGGTCGCCAGCTGCCCCCCACGAGCGGCTCTCCGGCACGGCCACGGCCCCCGGAGGCACAAGGACTTAGCACAGAGAACCAGCCGCTTGGAGCAGAAAAGCAAATGGACTTGTGTTAAAACGCGCCACCAAGCCTGCCCGGAGGGGAAGGGGCGTTGACCAGCCCGCCCACTCCTCTCTGGAAAGAAAGATGGCGGCCGCACGGGAGCCTTGTGGAAAGCAGGATTGAGCCGGGCTTGGGGGAGCGGCGGGGACCTCATGGGAAGGGGGGCTTTGTGGGCCGTCCCCCACGCCCCACCGAGGTCGCCAGCTGCCCCCCACGAGCGGCTCTCCGGCACGGCCACGACTCCAGGACACAGAAACCAATCTCTTAACTAGCTAACCTTTAATAGAAATTCTTCCAGGGTCAATAAGTAATATAGCAGAAATTCAAAACCAAGTTGTAGAAAGCAAATCATTTCACAACGCTGTTTCAGCATGTCTGATTGTGGGGGGTGGGTCGTAAACTCTAAACAATAGTTGTGCATCTTCTATCGAAATAATCTATCTAGTCAAAGTATATAGAGTATTAACTAGAACTCATCTGCCTCACAAGAATTGGGAGGGGTGGGAGGTGGGGGTCTATTGGGGTTCGGGGCTAAAAATGAGTATTGGTAAAGGGAAATGTGTTTGGTATCTACATGACTGAGAACTAAACCCGAAAGCTCTGTAACTTTTTCCACAGTGATTCAATAAATAAATAAATTATAAAAAAAAAAATATTGGGGGCTGGAATGATAGCACAGTTGGCGGGGCATTTGCCTTGCACGCGGCTGACCCAGGTTTGATTCCCAGCATTCTATATGGTACCCTGAACACTGCCAAGAGTGATTCCTGAGTGCAAAGCCAGGAGTAACCCCTGAGCATCGCTGGGTGTGACCCAAGCACTGCACTGTAGCACTGTCCTGCCATTGTTTATCGATTTTGTTCGAGCTGGCACCAGTAACATCTCACAACAAATTGTGAGACTTGTTACTGTTTTTGGCATATCTAATATGTCACGGGTAGTTTGCCAGGCTTTGCGGTGCAGGCGAGATACTCTCAGTAGCCTGCCAGGCTCTCTGAGAGGGGCGGAGGAATTGAACCCGGATGGGCCGCATGCAAGGCAAACGCCTTACCCGCTGTGCTATTGCTCCAGCCTGGTGTGACCCAAAAAGAAAAAAAAACTTAAATTTTATTTAGCAATAAAGTAAATAACCATTTCCCCAGAACTCTGAGTTTGGTGTGCCCCATGTATTCACACTGGCTAGGAAAAATCACTCTTAGGACAACAGATCTAGAAAGGTTCACCAAAACTGCCTACCGTGTAAATTCATTCCTGATAGCTTGATTGAGAAAATACTCATCTTGGGAGAATGTTCCACATATTATAAATAAAAGCAGCAGCAGCATGATGATGTGCATATAAATGTCTCTATAAAAAAAGGAATTTTAAGATTAACATCTGTAGAAACACCATGTGTATTGTCCTATGAAACATTAATGAGAAACATTAATGAGATTGGGTTTATAAATCTCTGGAGAAAACATTCTGTGTAAGATATGTTAAAAAATAAAATATGAACTCCCAAATGGAGACAATTGTGGTAAAGTTCATAAAGATATAATTCCCAGCACAACTTCAGTTTCAACTTCCCCTACTAGTGTAGTCTTAATGGACTGGTTTGGAATTTATGTTGTAGTGGTGGTGGTATAGTCAGAACCTGAAACTGGAAGGATCAGGATCTTCATCTTCTAGTACCACAAGTGACCACAAAGTGCCAGAATCAAATCAAGGTCCAAACATAGGCCCTACCACTTGAGCCCCATCCCTGGTCCTATTTATTTACAAAGAGTTAATGTTTTCTATTTCTCAAAGGACAATGAAATAATGTTATAGTATCTTTTCATCTAAATGTTAAATAATTCCCTCTTTCCGTGTTTGCACTATTTCAGTTCATCAGTCCATGAAAACCTTTTTTATGGTTCAGCTATTATTATTATTATTATTATTATTATTATTATTTCCCTATCAGACATTTAAAACAGTGTTTTTCTTTTTAAATGTGAGAGCTTTTTATTACCATTTCTGCTTAAATTTTTTTAATTGAATATCCGTGAGATGGAACATTACAAAGCTGTTCATGATTGGGTTTCAGTCATACAATGATCCAACACCCATACTCCACCACTGTACCTTTCCCACCACAAATGTCCCCCATTTCCCTCCCACCATCCCCCAGTACCCCACCATCCCCCTGCCTCCCTCCATGGCTGGCACTTTTCTTTTTTCTCTCTCCTTTTGTGTATTATGGTTTGCAATACAAGTACTAAGGTGTCAGGGTGTTCAGTACTTTTATCAGGATGGTAAGGCTGGAATAGCTTTGTAATTGGGTGGCAACTTTGGGGTGTGGACGTGACTGTGAGCTTTCCAGAAGTACAGGAAGGTGGGGGTAGTAGACCCTGCTAACCCCAAGAAAGCCTGGAGATTTCAGTCACAAATCTGGTACACCCAAATTTTCAGCAGATTATATTTTGATGAGGTCCATCACAAGACAGTGGAGACAGGCCAGGGGTATAGTAGCAATTTAGGATTATGGAAACAAGCAGTTGCAGGGGTCTCTGCTTGGGTGGGCACCAGGCTGACTCACCCTCCCTCTGATCTATCCTGGTCTGCTCAGCCTTGCACGGGTTCAAGATTTACCCTTTCGAGATTTATTTAGGCAAGGCCAATAAATGAGCTGATATAGCATAGCCGCATATAGTTGGTGAGTGTGGTTCCCACATACCTAACTTTCAGCTATTTAATTTCTTGGGAAACTTGGTCTTGAGTTGTTGAGTATCAGGAAGCCTGAAGCAATGCTGATGCACTCTGCCCAGTGGGTACAGGTTGACCAAACCAGACCAAACCAAACCAAACCAAAGATAACAAATGACTTCAGCTGTTATTAAAATTCGGATCTATAAAGTTTTAATGTTCAAAAAAATTCAAATCTGTTTCTTCTTACCCAAATAAAAAGAATAGGAATAGCAGAAAATTCCTTATTTGCTTAAACCCATGATTAAAATGAACAATCAGAATATAGAACTATAGCACAATAAAATTTATGGAAATAGCTCTATTATTTTGCATAAATTCTTTTTCCCCTTTTTAAAATTCTTTTCTGTTTTTAAGGAGTAAGCTAATCAAGCCACATTTTGAAAATTTGACATAAAATTTTGAAAAAAAACATTTTATTTTATTTTTTATTTTTTAAATTTAAAAAACCATTTTATTTTTTAAATTTAGTTATCATTAATTTCATAATGGCTAAGGATGGCTAAGGATTCTTCCCCCTACCTTCACCAGCCCATACACCACTTTTTGGAAGACATTTCAAGTTAAAATTATGTGGTATTATTGCATTTCACTGCAATAGCTAATTTTATGACAATCTTTTTTCTGAAAAACTGGGGTGTGACCATTTTGCAAAGATCTTTTAAAAAAATTTTAAAAATTATATTTTAGGTAGCATGGTTACAGTAGTGGTAGTTTTTAAAATTTCATCCTTTTCTCTCCCTCCTATGTGACTTCTTTTTTAAAAATTTTTATTAGTGAAACACCATGAGGTACAGTTGTAAACTTATAAATTTTTGTGCTTGGGTTTCAGTTATACAATGATCGAGTACCCATCCCTCCACCAGTGGCCATTCTCCACCACCACTGATCCCAGTATCCCTCCCATACCCCATACCCCCACCCCACCCTTCCTCTGTGTTCTCTCTCTCCTTTTGGGTGCTGTGGTTCGTAAAAGAGGAATTGAGTGGCAATCATGTTCGGTCTATAGTCTACTTTCAGCATGTATCTCCCATCCTGTCACCTATGTGACTTCTAGTCTGTCTCCTATTTCTCCCTTTTTTCACCTACTTGATTTTGTGCTTAAGAAAAGTAGGGGTTTTACCTTCCACCAGTACTGTGTATTCCCTTGTTTTGTTTCTCTATATGCCGCAGATGAGTTCTTCCCCCTCTGACTTATAATCATAATCGTGTAATATTAGTACTTCATCCTCTGACTTAACTCACTTACCCCCCCCCCCCCAAATAGCTTATTTTTGTTCCATACAAGTCAAAACTAGTTTCTCAAATGATATGGATTACCATCCCTTAATTTTCCCCATTTAGTATCAGTGGGAGCATAAGGGGCTCAATTTCTAACTTCCTTTGCTTAAGTGATATACAGAATCTTTTTCTTTCTCTTCTGTAATAGATCCTGAACATATATCTCACTCAGCTATTGTAGGGCTTCCATCTTTTTTTTTTTTTTTGCCTTTTGGGTCACACCCGGTGAGGCACAGGAGCTCCTCCTGGTTCTGAACTCAGGAATTACCCCTGGAAGTGCTCAGGGTATACCATGTGGGATGCTGGGAATCAAACCCTGGTCAGCCGCATGCAAGGCAAATGCCCTACCCGCTGTGCTATCGCTCTATTTCTGACTCATTTCACTTAGTATGATACTCTCCATGATGACTATGTAATATTCCATTGTGAAAATGTACCATGGCTTTTTTTTTTCCAGTCATCTGTTCTCAGGCACTCGAGTTGATTCCAGATTCTGGCTATTGTGAATTGTGCTGCAATGAACATATAAGCGCAGAAGGTGTTTCTGCTGTGTTTTGGGGCTTCTGGAGTATATTCCCAGAAGTGGTATTGATGGGCTATATGGAAGTTTAATTTCCAGTTTTCTGAGGAATGCTCATGTTTTCCATTAAGGCTGGACCAGTCGGCATTCCCGTCAACAGTGAATGAAATTCCCTTTCTGCCCACATCTGCGCCAGCACTGGTTGTTTTTGGATGCGTGCCAACTCTGTGGTATGAGATGACATCTCATGGCTGTTCTGATTTCATTTCCCTGATGATTCAGTGATTCCTGAATGTAGGGCCGGGAAGAACCCCTGAAAATTGGATGTGGGCCCAAAACTTAAATGAACAAGAAACCAACCACTGAACAGAAAAAGAAAAAAAGGGAAGAGTTAAGTCTTTCTAATGATGTACAGCATTTTTTCATGTGCTTTTTGGCCATTTGCATTTATTCTTTGAGGAAGTTTTTGTTCATTTCTTCTCCCCAGGTTTTTATGGGGTTGAATTGTTTTTTCTTGTAGAGTACTACCAGTGTCTTATATATCTTTGATACCAATCCCTTGGGCTGGAGCGATAGCACAGCAGGTAGAGCGTTTGCCTTGCTCTCGGCCAACCCGGGTTCGATTTCTCCGCCCCTCTCGGAGAGCCTGGCAAGCTACCGAGAGTATCCTGCCTGCATGGCAAAGCCTGGCAAGCTCCTTGTGGCATGTTCAATATGCCAAAAACAGTAACAAGTCTCACAATGGAGACGTTACTGGTGCCCACTCAAATAAATCAATGAACAATGGGAGGGAGGATAGTGCTACAGTGCTACTAATCCCCTTAACATGAGTATTGGGTAAAATTTTTTTCTCATTCTGTCAGCTTGCTTTGAACATGTTATTTCGAGAGAAGCACTCTTTATCAAAGATTTGCCTTGAAATGAGTTCCCTATTGGGCTGGAGCGATAGCACAGCGGTAGGGCATTTGCCTTGCACGCAGCCAACATGGCCGACCGGAGTTCGATTCCTCCGCCCCTCTCGGAGAGCCCGGCAAGTTACCAAGTGTATCTCGCCGGCACGGCAGAGCCTGGCAAGCTCCCCGTGACGTATTCGATATGCCAAACACAGTAACAAGTGTCACAATGGAGACGTTACTGGGCCCGCTCGAGCAAATCCATGAATAACGGGAGGACCGTGACCGTGACTGTGAGTTCCCTATTTAAAAGGGAAGTTAATAGTGCCCAAGCTATAACAGAAGATGTTTGTGAAGGTTGCAGGAGATAGCCCCTCTATATACTTTAGCAATGTCATATATTTGGAGAAATGTCCGGAATTTCAAAGTTCTTGACAAATTTTATCAGAAATATTTGAAAAAGACAAAATAATTTTTTAAACTGAAAAGAGAAGATACAGCTATTATTATGTAATGATCCTTAATGCATTTAGTTAAACCCAACATTCACATGGATGGGAGTAGAGATAGTGTGCATTATTGAAAAAAGTGAGTGTGATGGGTCGAACAGGTGGTCTGGGTGGTAAACCACTTGTTTTGCACATGGCTGTGGCTACCATGACCCAGTTCAAATTCCCAGCAAGCATATGGTTCCCTGAGCACTGGCAGGGATCACTTCTGAACTCAGAGATAGAATAGTCTGAGTCTCACCAGGCATGAAAAAAACCCTAATAGAGGGACTGGACAGATAGTACAGTGGGTAGGGCGATTGCCTTGTACACTGCCTACTCAGATTCAGTCCCGAGCATCACATAGCATCCCCCATGCACTGATAGGAGTGATTCCTGAGTGTAGAGCTGGGAATAACCCCTAATATTTCTGGATGTGGACCCAAATCTAAAACAAACAAAAACCAACCACCTGAAAAAAAAAGAAAAAGGAAGAAAGAATTAAGTCTAGTCTAAACTGTAAAGGTCTGGCTTGATCATCATTTAATTAGGAGGTTGGGTAATCTCCATCAATGCTTAGGGACTATTCTTGGCTCTTTATATAGGAGAATCAGCAAAGACCTCTTAAAATTCTTGGGGGACCACATGTAATGCCAGGGATTTGATTTAGGGTTGACCACTAACAGGGCAAGTGCCTTACTCCTCATAATCATATTTATTAAGTTTTGTGTTTTATCTAAAAGCGTTTGCATATTTTGCATTGAACACCATAATATATCTCACATATTTCATATTTAAATTTTTAACAGTTTAATATTAAACATTTAAAATACTCATCATTGGGTCAAGGTATCTTAAAAAGATGTTTTAATTATCTTACTTAATGTTTATGTTTTGTGAAACCCCATTTTATATCCCTTGTCCAGTTGGAGTAACAAAGTTCTCCAGCAGCATGCAAAATACAAAGAGTGTAACAGAAAAAGAAAAGGCCCAGAGGGATAAATATTCTTATGGGTGGTGTTTTTGCATCACACCCGGTGATGCACAAGGGTTGCTCCTGGCTCTGCACTCAGGAATTACTCTTGGAGGTGCTCGGGGGACCATATGGGATGCTGGGAATTGAACCCGGGTTGGCCGCATGCAAGACAAATGCTCTATCCAGTTTGCTATTGCTCCAGCCCCGTGTTAATATTTTTTACCAATTTCTCTTCACAGGTATTTGCAGAAGTCACTGCCTCCAGCTCCACTTCTCTGCATCCCATGTACTTGAGAGTGAGCATATGAAACACAACAGCCTTAGGGTCATCAAATCCCCCACCTTCTCTTACTAGTCCAGGAACTAGAAATATTCCCTCTGAAAAACAACCTGTACCAAAAAAAGGTCTTCACCCACCTCAGTGCCTTACGTGCTCTCATCTCTCTTCTCATCCTAGTCCTAGTGACTCTGAGGTGCGCCATGGAAGGTGGATGTGCCCAGCGCAAACATCGAGCACGGTGTCTTGCTGCCAATACCTGTGCAAACAAACACAAACACTGTGAGTTTGGGATGTGGGTGGAAGAAGAGAGAATGGGGTGTGGTGGTAAGGGAGCAATACTTCTGCTTCTGCCTTCTCACAGACTTGGGAAGTTACTGTGCAGGGATAAAAGATCCCAGATTGAAGAGCAATGTGAGAAGAAGGGGAAGAGATCAACTGACAAACTGGTCATGTTCAAGGCTGGCTATGTCAGCAAGAATGGCAAGTGCTTGCACATAGTCACTTGCCATTGTACAACTACTGAGTAAATTCAGTTTGGAATTTGTACATATTTTCTTTCCGAAATAGGTATGGGAAATCCATTTTCAAGTATGTTCTTAGAAATCCAAATGACTAAAAGGCACATGAGAAAGGGCTGGAGCGATTGCACAGTGGGTAGGGCATTTTCCTTGCACGCAGCCAACATGGCCGACCCGAGTTCGATTCCTCTGCCCCTCTCGGAGAGCCTGGCAAGCTACCGAGAGTATTTGCCCTCACGGCAGAGCCTGGCAAGCTCCCTGTGACGTATTCGATATGCCAGACACAGTAACAACAAAGTCTCCAATGGAGACGTTACTGGGCCCGCTCGAGCAAATCGATGATCAACGGGAGGGCCTTTACTTTACTTTACTTATCACTAATCATCAGGGAGATGCAGATCAAAACCACAATGAGATATCATCTTACACCACAGAGACTGGCCCACATTCAAAAGAACAAAAGCAACCGGTGTTGGCGTGGATATGGAAGAAAGGGACTCTCCTTCACTGCTGGTGGGAATGCCGACTGGTCCAGCCCTTATGATTCTCAAAAAATTAGAAATTGAGCTCCCATTTGACCCAGCAATACCACTACTGGGAATATATCCTGGCGAGGTAAAAAAGTACAGTCGAAATGACATCTGTACTTCTATGTTTATTGATGCACTAGTCACAATAGCCAAATCTGGAAAAAACCCGAGTGCCTGAGAACAGATGACTGGTTAAAGAAACTTTGGTACATCTACACAGTGGAGTACTATGCAGCTGATAGAAAAGATGAATTCATGAAATTTACATACAAGTGGTACTACATGGAAAGTATCATGCTAAGTGAAATGAGTCAGAAAGAAAAGGACAGACATAGAAAGATTGCATTCATCTGGGAAATATAAAGCAACAAATTGGGAGACTAACACCCAAGAATAGCCGAGATAAGTACCAGGAAGTTCACTCCCTGGCTTGGAGGCCAGCTGCACATGCTGAGGGAGAAGGCAGCTCAGATAGAAAGGGGAGCACCGAGTAAAGGGTGTTGGGAGGAACCTCCTAGGATGAGAGATGCATGCTGAAAACAGACTATAGACCGAACATGATAGCCACTCAGTGTCTCTTTTGCAAACCACAGCACCCAAAAGGAGAGAGAGAACAAAAGGAATGCCCTGCCACAGGGGTGGGGTGGGATGGGTGGGTGGGGGGTGGGAGGGATGCTGGTAGCATTGGAGGTGGGGAATGGGCACCCATGGAGGGATGGATACTCAATCACTGTATAACTGAAACCTAAGCACAAAAATTTGTAAGGTTACCAAGTGTACCACATGGAGTTTCACTAATAAAAAATAAAGTATGTTCTGAGCAGGAAACTACCTTTGGGGTCACACTCAGGGATTGAAAAATCACAATTATAACCATAGTGCCTCAATAAAAAACGGGGAGATGAAAAGAAGTCTCTGAAGAATAAAAGTAGAGATCAAGAAGGTGTAAGAGAACCAGTACAATGGTGTTTCTTTTCATCTGAGAGCTTAGGGCTAAGGGGAGGATGACAGGAAGAGGAGATAACCTAATTAAGATTTTGAGCCCAGAGCTTTAGAGAGGGGACTTATATTGCCTCAGGCTAGTTACCTTAGCATTCTAGGAATCTACTGATCTTCAGAATGGAGTGCCATAATGCCCCATTATAAATGGCATTTTATGGAATAAATTAAACAATACACATAATTAAAATACAAATATTATAAGTCAAGCAGTGGTGCAGAGATAATCTGATCACATGAATGATGTTAAGTCATTTATCATCACCAGGTGATGATAAATGATGAATGATGTTAAGTCTTTTATCATCACCAGGTCTCCAGGTAAGACCAACAAATTAGGTGGAAAAGACTTGGGAGCTATGAATGCCTAAGGGTCATCTAGTCATTTAGTCATTAGATCAGAGGTTCCCAAATTAATTTTGTCCATACTCCCTTTTCATAAAAAGGTCACACAGTGACCCCCTGTAAAATATTTTAGAAACAAGCAATGTAAAAGCTTTCAATCTCAATTTCACCCAAGGCTCTTACCACGCTCTGGATTGTTCCAGACCCAACCTAGGAAGCAATTTCACTCATGCTTGGAAATACTGTAAATTGTTTCCTTGAAAGACAGGAGTAGGGTTGGAGGAGTTGTCTATGTTGTTGACTGGGCCTTAGTTATGCTGTGTCCAAACAAGCACAGAGGTCTGCTGCACTTATATTCTTAACAACTAGCTAGGTAAATCTTTCTATTTATGCTGTTCACACTCCCTTGGGATGTGCTCTATAACGTGGCAGAAAAAACTGACCTGAAAAGGAAGGAATGAGGGAGGGAGAGAGAAATTTTTCTTTGGATTCACTGAAATTCAAGTGGCCTAAAAGTTCTCCAGAGTCACAGTCAAGAAATATTTCTCATTTACGTCAATGGCTTATGATATGCTCCCTTTCTTTTTTTTTTCCCTTTATTTTATTTTATTTTTTTTACAGTTGTAAATTTATAATTTTTTGTGCTTTGGTTTCAATTATACAATGATCAGATACCCATCCCTCCACCAGTGCCCATTTTCCACCACCATGGATAATATCCCTCCCACCCCCATCCCCCCATCCCCCCTGTCTCTGTGGCAGGGCAATCCCCTGTGTTCTCTCTCTCCTTTTGGGTGTTGTGGTCTGCAAAAGAGGCATTGAGTGGCAAACATGTTCAGTCCATAGTCTACTTTCGACATGCATCTCCCCTCCTGGGAGGATCCTCCAAACATCCTTTATTTGGTGCTCCCTTCTCTATCTGAGCTGCCCTTTCCTCTAGGATACCCGGCTGGCCTCTAAGTTATGGAGTAATCCTCCTGGTGCTGATCTCAGCTATTCTTGGGTATTAATCTCATACTTTGTTACTTTATATCCCCCAGATGAATGCAATCTTTCTATGTCTATCCCTCTCTTTCTGACTCATTTCGCTTAGCATGATACTTTCCATATTGTACCACTTATATGTAAATTTCATGACTTCATCTTTTCTAACAGCTACATAGTACTCCATTGTGTAGATGTACCAAAGTTTCTTTAACCAGTCATCTGTTCTTGGGCGTTCAGGTTTCTTCCAGTTTCTGGCTATTGTAAAGAGTGCTGCAATGAACAAACATGCTCCCTTTCTTAATCTTATTTGTAACTGAGGTAAGGAAATAAATTCTATACATTTACATATCACGTAGATACATGTAAAGAAACATGAAAATGCATCCATCAGTCTCAATAAAAATTCAAAATATAAGTTTAGATGTACATAATGAGAATATAGTGCTATTCCCTGGAATTTAGTTATGAGCATAACAGTTGGTTTCCTCACCTGCTCAGCCTCGCTGGCACAGTTGGGAACGCTGCAATTGGAAGACAAGGGTGTGCAAGTCTTTGGTGACCCAACTAATTCAGAATCCAGATACCTTGTAGCATCATGCAAAGACTCAATGAAAAAATGTTTGTCATCTTTCCTTTTCCAAGCAAAACTCAATGCCATGAGACCAATCTGGAAGGAAATACATGTTAGGGAAATATGTGTGTTTGCTCCTACAGATGCCCTTAAAGAACTCAAGAAACCTACACCTGTCTTTGCCTTTAGTTCCTGGCAAGCTCTCTCCCCAGGTGGGGCTATGCCAGAGACCGGCATCCTGTAGACTCAATGTCCTGGAGTGAAAATCGGGAGTTGAAGGGGCTCACCTCTATAGGCATGAATTCAGCTTTGTCCCTCCACATATTAAGTTAAACTGTGAATAACTACATCACCAAAATGCAATAACCTTACAGATTCACTGTTGAGAGTGACACTGTGGCTCACCATGAGTGGCTGGGTGAGGAGGACACAGCAGAATATGGACACTGTCAGCAGGCACGACCACTGGATACACTGTGCTGGGCCAAACCTGTTCCAGAGAGAAAGTATCGGCACTATTTGTCCATGTTCAGGAGAATCTGTGTCTTCCTTACGGCCTGCCTGTGCATGGACATGGGGAGTATGCAGCAGGAAGGGGCAGTGAGGGCAGTGTCCTGCTGTTCTGCCTGTATGTCAGAACAATATCCCTGAAGTGGGAAAGAACAGGACACTCAGCACACAACAGGAGGAGCACAGAGATAGAGCAGTGGTGGTAATTACAGTATTAGTAACTATAACAATGTATTTCCACCTGCTGAGTTCTAAGTAGGGGCTGGGACCTCAAGGCCCCATGGCACTGAGGATAAGATTTGTTTGTCTAAAAATTCTGTGAACTCAAAGCCAGAACTACTCTTCCTGGTCTAGGCAGATGTGTGGCCATAGGAGTAGCATCTAATTATCTTGGGGTCACTGGTGATAGAAATCAGTATGACAGAAAGTAATTGTGGTGTGACATAACCAGAATTTATTAAAAATGAGTAGCACAAGAGAGTAATCGCTCTCTTGCAGGTGTATGCTCTTTCAGTTGATGGAAAAATTTAAAACATGCTCTTGGGCAAGGTACCTAAATTGTTTCCTGCCTCTTGTAACTCAGTAGCTGAGCTATATTCTTTCTTGGTGAGAGTCCTTGTGAGAACCAGGAGTCTAGTGATATCATTCCAGAACTTGGCAGGTGCTCTCACCCACTGGGATTTGTCCACGATTCTCCTCACCCCCCCATAGAAGTGAGAGGGGAAAATGAGGATTTATAACAACAGTTACATCTGATGCCTGAATTTGATGAGTTCCCAAACAGGAATTTCCTTACCAATGATAAACCTTCCATAAAAGGTCTGAGTACTTGGAAACTTTTATAGTGGACTCACCTAGATCCCAGAAATCCTGTTGCCACGCCACAGACCAGGGACACTATGCCACAAACAGTCCATGCTATAGAGCTCAGTGGAAGCCAGGACATTCTCAGACAACAGGGTGTGGCGAGTGCTTCAAGCCTAACTTGGGGGTCTGTAAAACAGTTAGCAGGGTCTTGTGTTAACAGCTCTATTTTCTGTCCATACTGAGTTTGTTAGTGACATTACTTGGCTTCATAAGAGATTTGGGTGTGCCTGTGAAGGTGTTTCAAGATGAAATTAATACTGTAATTGGTAGTTGGAATGCAGAAGATCACCCTCCTCATTGTGGGGGCCCCACCCCATTACTGGAAATCTGAATGGAACAGGAGGGAATTCCTCCTACTCGGCTTTGAGCTGAGCTATCAGCTTTTTTGTGTATTTGGATTTTGTAGCATCTTTTTTTTTTTCTGGGTCTCTAGTCTGTTAACTTCAGATATGGAACTGTCAACCTTTATAATTTAGCAAGCTAATTACTTACTAAATTTCTTTATACACAGGTTATTCTTGGTTATATTTCTGGAAAACCCTAATACCTAGAGAAGGGATTTTACTGTAGAGGTGCTTTTACTCTTTTTTTTTTTGGGTATTTTTTGACCAGAAGTCCAACATTTCTCCTGGTCATCCTTCCCTTCCTTATTGTTATTAAAATAACCAGGGTTCCCATACATATGGTTGTGCGGCTTAGTAACATTTTGGGATCCCTCCTTTATCTTCACACACAGATGATCTGGTATCTTGGATATTTAATGTTTTTAATTTCACAGTTCTATGGGATCCATATTCTCTGCATAGAAAAGCTATGTTTCTACCATGGCATACTGTATTTAGTAACCATTATATCCAGGCTGGGTAAAAATGGTGTCTAAGTTTGAAATGGACCTTGATTTGATATTATCAGATCCCGTTTCACATGTTCCTACTATCCCCACAGTGCAGACTGTTTGATACCCACCAGTATCACTGTGTGAACCAAGAGCACTATGAACACTCTTCTCTCTTAGGGCCCACTGGTCAGAGTTAGCCTCAGATGTTTCCAGCTCAGGAGGCAGATGGCTTATGTCATTGTGACTGGTCACCCTCCTCTGGACTCCAACACTGCCAGAAAGATCAGCTGATGGGTTTTTCTTAAAAGAAGAAAAGGTAAAATCAGGCTTCTAAGCATATGCAGTAGTATTCACAGACTCCATAGTCTTAGGGTTTGTTCCCCATTCAGGAGATGGGCATGCCCAGCTGACTTTGTCTAGTCCATACTTGGGGATGAATTCTGGGGAAAGGGTTGATTCCCTAAAGGGTCCCCCAGAACATCCCTGGAACAGTAAGATTTATTTGGCTCTATTATGACTATGTTCTTGCCTTGTGAGCAGCATCTGGACCCAGTGACATCAGAGCAATGGCAAAGCTCTCTGGCAAGGCAGAGCACTAACTTTAGTGTAGAAAACAAGGTGCAAGCAGGAGATCAGAGAGACGGGACTGAATTACAGACAGGAGATTAGGATCCACTCATGCGCAGGAGCTTTGCAGCAGAGCCCCGGAGAAACTGGAGTAAGTTTCTCACATGACCAGACAGATCGCCACAGAGAATTCACAAAACCATCACATGGCTCCATTGTGATTGTTCCTAGACTGCTCTCTGTTCACATCCTACCAGCTACTGTCCCAGAGACCTGAAGCAGATCACAGCAGTAACTGGACACTTCTTCTATCTCTACCCCACTTCTCACAGGGACAGGGGAATAGCCAACTAAACATGCCACTTTACTGTTTTCTAGTTTCTCTAACACTGGGTCTGTCACCTTCCAAGGTTTTCAGGCCCAGATTCTAAAATGTCACTGATGACACACACATGGGTTTCCAAAATCTACTGTGCCACACCCTTCACCCTTGAACCTGAGCTGAGCATTCTGTGTGAATGGCTGACTCTATGATGTGTTTTCTGGAAAACTTAGACCTGTTCCTTGTCTTTCTCCTACTCTGGATTGTATTTGACCATCTATGGCCAGACAACAGCTAAGAGAGGAGACCAGGAGCTCTGCTATAATTTTATACCAGAGAATTAGCTGCTACACATTAGCATATTTACCTTGTATGTTTCTGGGGCAACCGACATCCTCCTAAGAGAACTAGGGCCTGTTTTTGGAGGGGAGAAAGATCAAATTTACGATGTTAAATTAGAAAACCAAGTCTCGGGAGAGTGCCTTCTTCAGGAGAAAGCCCATTTTCCTACAACTCTCTCAGGACTGCCTTTCGTGACAGTCAGAACTGAACTGCAGTGAGGATTTTTATCATTGCTATATGGATGTGGGCTTCAGAAATCCCTTAACAAGCCCAACTTTCCATACAATGAACAAAAGGTAGCTGTAAAGTCAGATGGGATTTCCTTTCAGTGGATTGGCCAGAAAGTATCAGATGTGATGGGAAAATGTCTGATTTTCCAAATGTCTTACGTTGCTATAAATTTAAAACAAAAATTACTTTTAAGTGGACAGTTACCTTGAGCTGTTTCAGTCCACACTCCTCTCAGGGGCAGATGTGGCTCTGCTCTGAAATATCCACTGGATTCCTGTGGAGGGAAGGAGAGATTGTCCAGGAGGGTAGGCACCAAGGGCACCTTCTAGGGGCAGCCAATAGAGGGCACGCTGGTACCTTGCTGAGCCTGAAGAGCAATGACAAGAGCTGTGCTCCAGGAGAAATCAGGAGGCTGCACAGGAAACCCGTCCGGAAGTAGCCCCAAGTACCAGAAGTGGTGCCGGCATTCAACCAGAGCTGTGGGACCTGACAGCAGCAATTTACCAATGGAAGTAAGCTCCATGGACACAGAAGGCTCAGTTTATAGTCACAGATGTAATTTATGCAAATATATACTTTACAGTGAATCAAAATTCTCTCTCCCTGAATCGTTGGGCTTTCATCTCCAAATTTAAAAGATCACAAGTAACCTTGTTTTTGCCTATCAAAATTATTTGATGAACACTTCTTTTACATTAGGCCCTACCATGATCATACACTTAGATTTAGTCCTTCCTTTAGTCTGACAGGAAGGCATCAGTATTCCCAATAATTCCATAAGCAGAGAAAAACAGACTTATGACCCAAGATCAAACTGGCCAATCTCAGAAGAGAGGGTGATCTTAGTTTTCCTAACTCTTGTCCCAGATAAGCACAGGTATTGTTTTCTTGCTGCTTGATGATATAAAAAGTTTATACAACTTATTCAATTTTTAAATTATTGTAGGGGATGGTGCCACCCAGACCCTGGCAATGAACCAAGGGAAATAGGACCACACCCGAAGGCTCTAGGAGGCAGCCGGGTAAAAATCAAACCCAGGACCTTAAACACACTAAGCATACGCTTCACCATTTGAGCCACATCCCTAGTTCCACAAGAATGCTTATTCTTTCTTTAAAATATATGCTTCCATAGGGGTTGGAGGATAGCACAGTGGCTAAGGCCCCCTGAATCCCACCAGGAGTGATCCCTAACTACAGAGTGTGGAGTCAGTCCTGACCACCTTTGTATGTGTCCAAAAATATACAAGCAAAAAATCCTGCATCATTGTTCAGTTTTGTTAGTGGAGGGGATTGGTGTTACACCCAGCTATGTTCACGGATTACTGTTTTCTGGTTTTTTGCTCAGGGGTACTCCTGGGAGGCTCAGAGGACCAACTGCAGTTTTTTTTGGGGGGGGGACAGAAATATTTTAAAACTTAAGTTTACTACCTTAACCTTAAAATGTTTTAGACATTCTCATTAGGCAATTTGACTGCTGACTCCTCTGAAGAAGTCATGTCTTGTGGTGACGCAGTACATGAGGCAGGTCTCTGTGGCTTCTCCCAGAGATGACACCTTGGACACTTCTTGTGGGTCCTTCCTAGGTTCACTCCCCGCTCGGCGTTATGGTGAAGGACTGACTTTCCCTAGCCTTTTTTTCTGAAGACTGAGTTTTGTTATTTTCTTAATTAAGGTGTCTCACTGTAGTTATGGTGATTAGAAGCCATTTTTTAAAAATGTTTTTATTTAATTAAAGAACCGTAATTAAAGAAGTTCTTGATAGTTGAGTTCTAGGAATGTAATATTCCAACACCAATCCCATCACCAGTGTCAACTTCCCTCCAGCAGTCTTCCCATATTCCCTCCCCTACCCACCCCTAGTCCTGCCTGTCAGCCTGACAGGCACATCACAGAGCTCAGTGCTTGCAGATTAGATCTCCTGTTTCAGTGCTGTTGAGTCTGGGCATTGGCTCTCTTCCATCAGCAGGGCAGCTCAAGCTCTACCTCCCTGTTCCCCATTAGTTCCCTTTAAGGAAACTCGAGCAAGTCCCACCTGCTCGTGTCCCACGGCGATGATCAGGGCGGAAAGACACATATATGTGCACAGTAAAGCCGAGGCAACAGTGAGCCTCGGGGTGTGGAGGTATCTGCTGCAGGAGGGCCGGCTGTACACCGATGCCCAGACATGGTAATCCTCCAGGTACTCTGTGCACTTGGAATAGAAAAGCTGAAAGAGAGGTACATCCACTGATATTCATCTGAAGATGGTTCAATTCAGTTAAAAATCATAGTTTCTGAGTTGAGAAGTTACAATTTTGTGATTTCCTTTCCCCAATTCACTAGATACTGCTGAGTCCTGCTGCAGCCCTGCCTTCTTGGCTAGCTGCATGAAAAATTTTCCTCTAAACAGCTAAATTAGAAAGTGCAAAGAATGCACAAGAGTTGTTATTAAAAAGGACACAAAACATCCTGTATGTAGAAAACTAAGGACAATAAAATGAAGAGGCAAAACTTTGTGGTTCATTTGTGAGAGTATAGGGCTGGAGAGATAGCACAGTTGTAGGGCATTTGCCTTGCACGCAGCCAACATGGCCGACTCAAATTCGATTCCTCCACCCCTCTCGGAGAGCCTGGCAAGCTACCTGTCATATTTGATATGCCAAACACAGTAACAACAAGTCTCATGATGGAGACATTACTGGGCCCACTCGAGCAAATCGATGAACAATGGGAGGACCATGGCCATGATAGGTGATTTTATCTTTTCCTTTCATTTTGTCTATTTCTTTGGCATTATTATTATTTAAAAAATTTTTCCCCCTGGAATTCTGCTCTGATCACATCTGTGTTCGATTTATTTAATTATGTAGGTTTTTGGGACACATACACAGCAGTGCTCAGGGCTTAGTCCCGGCTCTGAGTTCGGAGACTAAGTCTTCGGGCTCACAGAACCATATGGAGTGCCAAGGATCAAACCCAGGTTATTTGTTTATTTGTTATCTCAGATGTTCAGGGCATTAAAATGTCTTCAATTAGCAGCCTCTTAGACACTATCAAGTAACAGGCAATCATAAATTCTCCACACTATTATTACGGTTAAAAGAAAAATATACTACTTTAATAATTCACAGAGATAATTAGTTCATGCTTGATGAAGATCTAATTGACACACAATTTAACCTAAGACTATCTTGATATGAACTAATAACAGCATTATTATATTTAACTTTAAATGTGTTTAATGGCACAGGCTGCTCAGAGAAGCAAAACTGGGCACCTCATTCTGCCATTCAAACCCGTGACACCGTGCCAAGATAAGGGACAGCACCTTACCCTCCAGAAACCAAGGCCCCAGCGCAGGCAGGCCAGTTCGCGCTCCACACAGCCATCCCACTGGCTCACTGACAACCAGCACTCAGCAGGGAAGAACCAGCACTGCCCGGTGCGCAGCTCTCTCACCATCACATGACTTACAAACCAGGCAGGAGAAGAACCAGAGCTGCTGTGCCACAGGCGAATTTTCTGAAGCGTCCCCAGTACTGGAGCACTGAGGAAACACACAAAACATTATCAGACAAGTAGGGGCTGATGGAATCCCAAGGGATGGCACAAGTTCTGATCCTCACCCTCAGCAGAGACAACACACACACACACACACACACACACTATATGTATATGTATATATTATATGTAATATATAGATATATGTGGCTGGAGTGGCTGGAGTGATAGCACAGCATGTAGAGGTTTGCCTTGCACTGGGCCAACCCGGGTTCAATTCCTCTGTCCCTCTCGGAGAGCTCGGGAAGCCACCAAGACTATTGCCCCTGCACAGCAGAGCCTGGCAAGCTCCCCATGGCATATTTGAAATGCCAAAAATAGTAACAAGTCTCACAATGGAGATGTTAGTGGTGCCCGCTCGAGCAAATCCATGAACAATGGGAGGACAGTGCTACAGTGCATTATATATGTATATATATATTGCATTATATATATATATATACATAAAATGTTCAGCATAAACTAGTCTGAATTTTATATCCTTTCTCCATGCATGTATTTTTGGGTCACATCTGTTAGTGATCAAGGTTACACGTGGCTTTGTTTTCAGGATCACTATGGCAGTGTTTGGGAGCCCATATGCAGGCTGGGAATCTAAGGGGTGGCTCTGTGCAAGGAAAGTGTCATAACCCCTCTACTATCTCTCTAGCCCTTATTTTTTTCTTTCAGTTTAGGCATAATGTACCAAATTAGTGTTATAAATAAATATTTACAGAAGGAAAATGTTTAGATTATTCTTTCATGTTTTTTGAAAATACTTGTAATAATATCTTGATCATTCATCACTACATAGGCATGTACTCTTACACTTGTAAATTTTAGGTAGAAAACTAACTGTGCCTAGACCTTTCTAAGTTAAAATTTTTTATACTCATTTATTAAAGTTAAATTTTTTTAATTGAATCACAGTGAGATAGTTACAGTTGTTCATGATTGGGTTTCAGTCACAAGATGTTCAACACCCATCCCTTCACCAGTGTACATTTCCCACCACTAATCAATGTCCCCAGTTTCCTTCCCCCTCCCCACCCCCCAATTCCTGCCTCTCTGTGTCAGGCACTTTTCTTCTCTCTCTGTCTCTCTCTGTCTCTCTCTCTCTCTCTCTCTCTCTGTCTGTCTCTCTCTCTTTTCTACATTTTTAATTTGTGACAAGGATACACCAGCTACGATTGGTCCCTCTTTTCCAATTTGAGCAGCTAGAATATTTTGGAATACCTCAGAATAAAGGTATGTCTGGAATTGCTTTCAAACAGGGGCGTCTCTGGACAGTAGAGTTCTTTTGGCTCAGAAAGTCCACTTTCTCCATATAAAACAATGTAAACCTTAAAAAACAAAAAAAACATAGGGATAAGAGTTTAAGATATTGAACATATAAAAACTAGTGCTGGGGAGGGTTTTCCCCACTCACTTCTTCCCCACCCACATCTGTCCACAAAGCCATATTGAAAGGCCAAATGACAGTGAGGATCCAAAGGAAGGGAGAGAGGGAGCACTTATGCTAAGTCTGTAGAGCCCCTCTGAGCTCTCTGTGAGAGATCAGAGAAGCAGGGCCACTACTGTGGGCTGGATTCATTAGGATATATTTTGGTTTCACCAGGGCAAGGGACCGCAACAGTGGATGCTGTTAGGGAGGCTGAATATCTTAGATATTGGGACTAGAGTGAGAAAAGGACACTATGGATAGTCCTTCCCAGAAGGGCTGAGTTTATTCCATCTCACTGGGATGACTTTTATTTTACATAAAGAAGAACAATTCTAATAGAATCAATTAGTTTTTCATTAAAAAATTCTTTATTTCTGGGTTTTGAATTATTCCTTATCCCAAAGCACATAATTTCTAAATATGATCTGCCATGTTTAAATCTCTAGTATTTCAGAGTTTATTTTTAATTTAGTGATGATGCAATATTATCTTTTTCACACAGGGTGGTCACTAATCCCAAATATTTGATTGAATGACTCAAGCTCTGTGTCTAGATTGTAAGGCTTCCCCAGGTGCTCAGATGGTTCCAGACTCTCTAATGTTCCTCAGCACTGACATGACAGTTGCCTTTCCTGACAATGCTGCACTCTTAGCTCTTATTTCAAAAAGGCCTAAATATATCACTCCTACCCCTGCACTTTATAGGTTACAGGACTTCTATGTGAATTTTAGAATTAATTTTAAAAATGTATAGAATATTTTCCTTAAGTTTTTGTTGTATTTCATTGACTCTACCATCTTTAGGACTCAATTTTTCATCTATAAAATGGGTACTATGGGAATCCATCAAGGAACAATAATGACATTTAGTGAAGTGCTAATTCTTTTTTTCCTTTTAATTTTATTAAATCATCATGAGATAGTTACAAGTTTTCATGTTTGGGTTACAATCACACAATGATCAAACACCCATCCCTCCACCAGTGCACATTGCCCACCACCAATATCCCTGGTAGACCTCCCTTTCTCACCGTCCCCCTGCCTCCATGGCAGACATGATTACCCATAATCTCTCTCTACTTTGGGGCATTATGGTTTGCAATACAGACACTGAGAGGTTATCATGTTTGGTTCTTTATCTACTTTCTGCACACATCTCCCATTCCAACCGATTCCTCCAGCCATCTTTTTCTTAGTGATCCCTTCTCTAGTCCAGCTGAAGCGCTAATTCTTGGTGGTTTCTATTATCATTATTGTTATAAAGTAATTTAAAATAAATAACAAAAATTTTCTCACCAATGAATAATGAAGTTCTTCACTTAGTTTTTTTTTGCATATTGGTCAGATGTTTTGCTTATTTCTACATGATGATGTTTTATGTTTTTGATGAATTTCTGGTTCACATTATTTTATCACTGTGATGATTTCAGTAATATTCAATAAATATCCTTGCTGTTCTACAGAGTTGTCCTTAGTAATTTTGTTCCTTAATCATGTATTTAGCAACTTTGCTGAACGTTCTTGTTATTTGAGTGAAGAACTGACCACTTTTTCTATGTAGGCATAATATTATAAGCAAACGAATTCTCTCCGTTCATGTTTTATATTCTTGTTTTGGTTCTTTGTTGATTTTTTGGTGCTTCCAATGCAACAATAAGTAGTAATTAGTGCTAAGGCATTACCTAAAGCTTTGCTCTGTTAGTCTGAGTATATTTTTTCTGAGTGCTGTGCATTACTTGTGCATTGTGTGTCAATCTGATGGAATATAGAGAGCAGGTAGAGTAATAGTTTAAAATGAGTATCACATAACTTTAAACCACTCACCATCTGCCACATATATCCTTGCACTTTCTCTTGAAATAGAGTAGGAGTCCCAAGTTCAGAGAAACCTACCATATTTCAGAGTAGGGTAAGTATAGTTTGCATGTAGTTTGCACCCAAACAACCCCTATTCTGCTTGCAGCACAAGTTGTGCACATGACCACCACATAAACCATAAACCATGGTTCCCCTTACCCACTTTATGAGCTCCCATGGGAAAACTATCTGTAACTTCAATCTCTTAATCAGCATTGTCTCTGAGGTTACTCTAGTCAGTTTTCACACCTGGGTCATAATACTACCTCGAGGTGATGGGGGAAATCACATTAATTAGAAGACTACTACTGGTTTCTCAAACTCTTAGTGTTACACTCAGAGTGGCATAACACTCTTCATGGGTTCCATGGTTAAGATGGGAAGGGCTCAAGGAATCCTGGTCCTGAGAAAAAGGGGTGCCATGGCTTCTCCTGTATGAAGTTACAAAGAGTCAAGGGACAGAGCCAACTTAAGAACACAGTGTTGCCAGCTGTGATCAATGACAGGTGACATACCAACATCCAAATCACAACACCTTTCCTTGCATTCCCACTTATCCTGTTCAGATAGCTTTTTCAAGAGTCTAGTTACCTTTGCAGTAAAGCGGGCAGGGGTCCGAAAACCAGTGTCAATGACCACGGCATACAGCTGGTGGTCAGGAGGACAATTTTCTTGTAGAAAAATATAACCCAATTTCCTTTTTTCATGATGATCTACTTGTTTACTTTTAATGACCAGAAAAGCATAAAGAATTATAAAAACCACAATAATCATACTGAGAAGAAGGTTTTCTGGGTGTCTGCAAATAATAGAAAGAGAGAATTACTCACACAATTGAACAGTGAGACAAAGATTAGTTTTCCACATGCTGGCTAAAGTGTTTGTGCACACACACACACAAACACACACACACACTCAAATATCTGTTGGTCAGCAATGACTAAAATTTAAGCTTTTGTTCTGTAACTATAGAAAAAGATTTATGTTTAATTTTGGAAATTATTCAAGAAGATTAAGAGAATAAATGGAGCAGCTTCTGGGCATTAGAATTGGTTGAGCACTTCAAGGGGTAAAGTATTAGAGCTGCTTGCGAGGGCCTTTGAAGAACAGAGTTGGCCCATAGCAAAATGACCAGCATGCTCTTTGATCAAAGTCATCATGAGGAGTCAAGCAGTTTTATATCTACAGGCTGTGAAGTGCTGGGGACTCAAGTCCTCTATCTAAAGAGCATCTTCATAAATCCTACTCTCCCTATTGTAAAAGGTGACAGAATACACATGAAAGGCCTTAGCAAGTAGTTGTGATGAAGACTCCCTCCCTCTCAGCAGAAATAAGACATATGGTCTTTCCCAGTCCCCAGCCTACTCCTATCCCACAGGTTGTTCTAGTCTTGTTTCTAGGCAACTAGAAACTATGCTGAATAAAAAGAATATCACTGGACACTGAGAACCATAGGAGAAGACCCCGTAAGGCCACTTGAGTCAGGTATAACCTAGTGAGGTGGTTTGCCAGGATCCAAGTCCCTACACCTAACATGGTTTTAAAGGGGGCTTGTGCTTAAAAGAATATTGCTGTCCCCGAGCATCATGACCCTCTTGAGACCCCAAGAACTATCTTTCATCTAGACAGTGCCCTGGGCTTCCCTTCTTTGTCATCAGCATCACCAACACTGGTAATTAATATCTTTTCACAAACTGTCTTATTCACTTACTAGTTACAAGTTCACAAAGTCAGAAATTCTTTGAAAATTGATTAAATAATGAAGTAAGGTTAGTTTTTATTATATAAAGGGAGAAATGTTAGTACCCATGCTCATCAGAAAAAGGATAATTTTGCATTGGTATTTATCTAGAAAATATTAATCAGTAGTTGGTAGCTTCATACTAATAGTGAAATAACAATAAAAAGATAGTGCAAGTTCCTAAAGTGTGGGCTTACATTGTATAGGCATATTGCATGTTTGGTTCCAGTGCTTGCCTCGTACGTGGCTGGCTATGGTTTTATCCCTGGTACCCTATATAGGTCCCTGAGCTCACCATTAGTTATTCCTGTGCACAGAGTTAGGATTAAGTCATGAGCACTGCTGGGTGTGGCCCCCAAACCAAAGGAAAAGTATATACCTTAGTTAAAAATACTTATTATTAGAACTGGTTGAACTCCATAAGAAGAAAACATCCAACCCCATAAAAAATGGGGTGATGAAATGAACAGAAACTTTCTCAAAGAAGAAATCCAAATGGCTAAAAGGCACATGAGAAAATGCTCTACATTATTAATCATCAGGGAGATGCAGATCAAAACAACAGTGAGATATCATTTCACACCACAGAGACTGGCCCACATCCAAAAGAACAAAAGCAACCAATGCTGGTGAGGATGTGGCGAGAAAGGGACCCTCCTTCACTGCTGGTGGGAATGCCGACTGGTTCAGCCCTTCTGGAAAACAGTATGGACGATTCTCAAAAAATTAGAAATTGAGCTCCCATTTGACCCAGCAATACCACTCCTAGGAATATATCCCAGAAAGGCAAAAAGTATAGTGAAAGTGACATCTACACTTGTTTGTTCATTGCAGCACTCTTTACAATAGCCATAATCTGGAAAAAACCTGAGTGCCTGAGAACAGATGACTGGTTAAAGAAACTTTGGTACATCTACACAATGGAGTACTATGTAGCTGTTAGAAAAGATGAAGGCATGAAATTTACATACAAGTGGAACTACATGAAAAGTATCATGTTAAGCGAAATGAGTCAGAAAGAGAGGGATAGACATAGAAAGATTGCATTCATCTGGGGAACATAAGGTAACAAAATAGGAGACTAACCCCCAAGAATGGCCGAGATTAGTACCAGGAGTTTTGCTCCATGGCTTGGAGGTCAGCCACACATGCTAGGGGAAAAGGGAGCTCAGATAGAGAAAGGAGCACCAAATAAAGGGTGTTGGGAGGATCCTCCCAGGATGGGAGAAGCATGCTGAAAGTAGACTATAGACCAAACATGATTGCCACTCAATGCCTCTTTTGCAAACCACAGCACCCAAAAGGAGAGAGAGAACAAAAGGGAATGTCCTGCCACAGAGGCAGGGTGGGATGGGGGGATGGATGGTGGGAGGGATAGTGGGACCCATGGTGGAGAAAAATGGGCACTGGTAGAGGGATGCCTGTTTGATCATTGTACAATTTAAACCCAAGCACAAAAATTTGTAAACCTACAACTCTACCTCATGGTGTTTCACTAACAAAAATTAAAAAAAAAATAAATGATGGAGAATGGGTACTGGTGGAGGGATGGGTACTGGATCATTGTATAACTGAAACCCAAGCACAAAATTTTGTAAACCTACAACTGTACCTCATCTCATGGTGTTTCATTAATAAAAATTTTAAAAAATAAAATAAAGCGATTTTTCACTAGTAGAGAAAAAAATATTTACTACTAGAAATTATTAACCATCATCTGAGCTTCTTCACCAGTACTTGCCACTCCACCATCTACTTTCATATTGTTAACAGTTTCTTTTTAGCCTCCACAGAATTGGAGATAGTTAGGGCCTTGCTCTGAATTGGGCTTTGATACAAAGGAATGCTTAGCTATCTGATGTTTTATAGAGACTTCTAAAAGTTTATAAAGCTTTATCGGCAATAAAGATGTTTCACTTAATCATCACTGAAGTGGCACTTTAAATTTCCCTCAAGACCTTTTCTTTTGTATTCACAACTTGGCTATTTGTTGCAAGAGGTCTTGATTTAAGCCTATACCTTTTGAGATGCTCTTTGTTATAATTTCCTCACCAAGCTAAGCATCCCTAGCTTTTGATTTAAAGTGATAGATATATGTCTTCATTTCATTTGAACAATTAGAAGCCATGGTAATATAATATTAAGGGTATTAGGCAATCAGGCAGGAAAAACTAGACCCAAATAAGAAAAGAAGTTAAACTATCACTATTTGCAGGTGACATGACAATAAACATAGAAGACCCTAAAGAAACCACTAAAAGGAAACAAGAAACCAAAACAGAAAAATTGCCAGCTACAAATTTGACACACAAAACCCATCAACATTCTGATATACATATACTGAACTATATAAAATAGTCTATGTCAGTCAAAATACTGTTCAAAAAAAAGATAAACTACCAAGGAACTTAACAAAGATGTTAGAGATAATATCTTTTAACATGTATAATTTGGAACATTATAAATCACTTAAGAGATAGGACATAGTCTTAGAAAACAAAAAAAGATTCCATGTTCATCATGAATTAGATGAGTCAATATTGTCAAAATGACTGTTTTACTGAAATTATTATATATATTCAACACAATCCTAATCCAAATTTTAATAACATCCTTCAGGAATTTAACAGTTAAAAATAAAGCTTGTATGGAAGCACACTGAGCTAAAACCATACTGAGAAATAAAAAATAATGAGGTATTTCATTACCTAAATTGAAGCTATATATATGAAATATGGTGATCAAAACAGCATAGTTCTGGAATAATTATAGACTGACCAATGAATTACACCTAAGTATCCAAAGACAAGTACCCAAATCTATGATCAATTAATTCTTAGAAAGATGAAGTCATAAAATTTGCATATAAGTGAATCAACATGGAAAGTATCATGTTAAGTGAAAGGAGTCAGAAAGAGAGGGACAGACATAGAAAGATTGCACTCATCTGTGGAATATAAAGTAACAGAATGGGATATTAACATCCAAGAACAGTAGAGATAAGGACTGGGAGGTCTGCTCCCCGGCTTGGACTGGCCTCACATGCTGGGTGAAAAGGCAGCTCAGATAGAGAAGGGAACTCCAAGTAAAGGGTGTTTGGAGGACCCATTCAGGTTGGGAGATGCGTGCTGTGTCGAATGGAAACTATACATGGAACACAATAGCCACTCAATGCCTCTATTGAAAACCACAACATCCAAAAGGAAAGAGAGAACAAAGGGAATGCCTTGCCTCAGAGGTGGGGTGAAGGTGGTGTGAGGGATACTGGGATCATTGGTAGTGGAGAATGGGCACTGGTGGAGGGATGGGTACTCCATCACTGTATGACTGAAACGCAAGCATGAAAGTTTGTAAGCATGTGACTGTACTTCATGATTCACTAAGAAAAAAAAATAAAGTCCAAAAAAATTTTTTTCTTGAAAAAAAGAGGTACATGGGAGGTCATAGAATATGGGAACAGGGGCCTTGAAACACTGTCAGTGTAGAGGAAATTTTCATGTATGAATCCCAATAACAAAATCAACAAAACTAAAAGCATAAACCAAACTGAAAAATTATGCTTATGTTATTACATGGTATATGTTATACGTTATACATAGTCTCACAGTTAGCATACATACAGACAGATATATATGAGTATATATTGTTTAAATTATCTATCTGCCTATTATTTATTTTAAAAACGAAGTCACCAAATGAATTTTAAGCATTTACTAATAATACATGAAAATCAGTAGGGATTAGTATAAATAACTTACATATATTAGAAAGCGGAACTTACCTCTGTAATATGGAAATGTCACTCACTTCAAAACTGGCATTTACCTTTCTTCTTGAGATAGCAAATGCAGCCAGGTGACTGTAGCTAAGTGAATGAGAGAAGTTGTCTACAGTGAGATAGTTGGAAGCATAAAAAGGATGGTAAGTTCCAACAACTATAATTTTTGTGATTCATATCCAGTTTAAAGAATGCAATTAAAATCTAAAATAGAATGAGGATATTTGATACTTTCTTTTTAAAAAAATTTTATTGAATCCACGCACATCAAAAAATGGGGAGAAGGAATGAATAAAAGTTTCCTCCAAAAAGAAATACAAATGGCCAAAAGGCACATAAAAAATGCTTCACATCGATAGCCATCAGGGAGAATCAAGTCAAAACAACAATGAGATATCATCTCACACTACAGCGACTGGCACACATTCAAAAGAACAAAAGAACAAAAGCAACCAGTGCTGGCATGGATGTGGGGAAAAAGGGATGCCCTTTCACTGTTGGTGGGAATGCCCACTAATCCAGCCTTTCTGGAAAACAATATGGACATTCCTTCAAAAACTAGAAATTGAGCTTCCATATGACCCACCAATACCACTTCTCAGAATATTTACCAAGTATGCAAAAAAAAGCACAGTAGAAATAACATCTGCACCTATATGTTCATTGCAGCACTGTTCACAATAGCAAAAATTTAGATATTTCATGTTCGAATCTTTGAGCCCACTACTCTCCAGGATGCCTGCAGCACAGACTCCCTTCACTACAGAAGATACATTACAGATATCTCTGTTACTGCCACAGGCCTTTAGGTTTAGATTACAGCCTATATGACACTGATGCCTTGGTCTCTTTGGGATGTGTACTTAATATTCTGTGTGCATGATTCTCAATCCTTTATCTGAATCTCAATCCTGGTATTTCAGGCATCCTGAATTGGTAATTTCTACCCTAACAATTTCAATTAATAACATCCCACATTGATTCTGGGAGGGCCCAGGAGACCAAGAGGGGTGCCAGTGACTGAGATGGATCTGCTATATTTAAGGGAACAAAATGGCAGTCACTTGACTGTTTCTGGACAAAGCTGTGCAGAAGCCACTGGAGGTATCTGGGTATGCTCTTGCATTTTATGCTGAAAGCACATGGAGAAAGGGAAGCCCTGGAATCTGATCCTACAGCCACTGCTTCACAATCTAGTCCTTCTGGAAGGCTCTGGCCCCACATCAGGTACCTGCACCGCAGACCCGGAACTGCATCCTCACCAGCCTGAAAGCCCAGGCACTCACACAAAGGGAAGCCCTAGGACCAGCCCCCGCAGCCCTGTACAGCCAGACCCTATTTCTATGCCAGGTGTTGGCCCCACATCTTGTTACCCTAACCTATAAATTCACAACCATGCTGGTGTGTTAGCATCAAGTAATATATGAAATTATATTACCTAAAAATATTTATATTACTTTTTTATTTTTTTATTTTTTATTAGTGAGACACCATGTGGTACATTTGTAGACTTCCAAATTTTTGTGCTTGGGTTTCAATTATACAATGATCAAATTCCCATCCCTCCAGCAGTGCTCATTTCCCACCACCATGGATCCCAGTATCCCTCCCACTCCCCATTCCCCCCATCCCACCCTGCCTCTGTGGCAGGGCATTCCCTTTTGTTCTCTCTCTCCTTTTGGGTGTTGTGGTTTGTAAAAGAGGCAATGAGTGGCAATTATGTTTGGTCTATAATAGTGTAATTTTCAAATAATATAAGTAATATAAATATTTTATATATTACTAGGAAAATACATATTTTTCAAGTAATATAAGTAAATATACATTTCAAGTAATATATGAAATTACTTATTATTTATATCTCATGTTGGGGTCAGGTGAGAACAGACATTTCTATTTCACAAACTCTATACTGATGTGTCAGTTAACTAAAGCAACTAAATAGCTGACATTTTTTTGAGGGGGTTGATCATATTCAAACATTATTGCACAATAAGGCAAATAACCTGAACAGCAAATGTATTACTAAAATCTACTTGGTATTAACAACCTAACTAGGAATCTAAACCTCCATCATTAATACCCACAAGACTCGAAGAACAATGTGGAAAATAAGGAACTCAGATGAAGTAGCAGATATGAATAGAAACCCAGTTAAGTCAATAGAAACCCAGTTACGTCTGCATTCCCACCAAGACACATGAGCCCTGTTGATGAAGACCTGAAATCAACACTCACTGCACTGGCAACAGAAATCAAACATTTCTCTGCTAAACTAAGCAATCACTACATGATAAGTTTAACCAACTCAAAGAAGAACTTTTTCAGAAGACAAAAAAATTCCACAAAAATGGAGGAGCAAAAGAACACACTAGTAAGCAATGGTAACAGAATCTCATAGGGGGAGAATCATTTAAATGAACTTAAAGAGAAAATACACCTGTATTGATATCAAAGTCAGAAAGGAAAAGAGAAATAAAAGAATGGATGAAAATGTAAGGTACTTAATGAACAAAGTGAGGAAGAATAATCTCTGAATTATAGAAGTACCAGAAGTGAGTTTAAAGGGAAAGGGGGAGAAAAGTGGTGGGAGAGATTATAGCTGATAACTTTCCCAGTCTCTGTAGGAAGGCAGCCGTGCAGATTCAAGAGGCCAAAGAGGAAAAAACAAAATATACTCAAACAGAACAACACTAAGACGCAGAGTAATCAAACTGGAAAAACCAAAGAGAGACAACTTCTTAAAGCAGCAAGAGAGAAGAAAAACCTTAATTATAAGAGTAATAATGTAAGAATCACAACAGATCTCCCATACACAATGGTACAGTTGAAAAAAGAGTGGAATGACATATTCAAAATTACTGAATAAAAAAATCTTTACCCTAAAGTCCTCTACCTAAAGCTCTCATTAGATGGGAGGAAGGGATTAAAAACATTCTCAGACAAACAAGAACTGGCGACATTTGTGATAACCAAACCAAGAGGGAATTAAATACTGAAAGCCCACTTATATAAACAAAATAGCCAATTTTAGAAACCACATAACCAATGATTTTGGATCATTATAACAAAAGACAACCATTTTCTGTTTACAGAAAACACATCTAAAATCACAGGATAGACACAGTATCAAAGTAAAAAAATGGAAAACAATTTTACAAACCAATGGAAAACAAAAAAGTTATGAAACAACCATGTTTATATTAGACCAAATTTTATTCAATAAAAAAGTATACTACTCACTGATCAAGAAATACACCAAGAAGCACTAACTCTAATCAATATATATATGCACCAAATATGGGATCAGCAAAGTATTTAAGGCTTCTTACCACAAATCTAGAGAAATACATGGATGACAATATACTAAGAATAATGGGAGACTTCCACACCTCACTGTCACCACTGGATAGATCTCCTAGCCAGGCTATCAATAAAGACAAGGGCTCTAAATGAGGAACCAGAAGAGCTGGGAGTAATGGACTTACACAGGGCCTTCCATCCACAAAAAGTGCACATGGAGCAGTCTTCATGATAAATCACAGTTTAGGAAATAAGTCTAATTGACATAAATTCAGTTACAAACGAATCATACCAAGCATCCTATGAGATCACAATGCCATGGAGATAGAAATCAACCATAAAAATAAGATGGGGACAAACCATAACAACTGGAGACTGAACAACATGTGGCTATCTAACAGTTGGATCAAAGAGGAAATCAATAAAGAAATAAAAAGATTCCTTGACACTAATGAGAATAAAGAAAAAAGTTACCAAAATCTCCTGGACAGAGCAAAAGCAGTACTTGGGGCGGGGGGGGGGGGGGGGAGACTCATAGTAACACAAGGCTTCATAAGGAAAGAAAAAGACAAAACTGAAAACCTAAATGCACAGCATAAATGTCTGGCGATCCAACAACAAATGAATATAAAGACTAGCAGAAGAAAAGAAATAATAATAACCAGATAAAAAGTTAACAATATAGAAACCAAGAAAGCAATACAAAGAGTTGATGAAACAAAGCTCATACTTCAAAAGAATAAACAAGATTTATAAACCTTTGGATAAATGTGTGAGGGAAAGAAAAAGGAAAGTGCTCAAATAAATTGGATCAATAATAAAAGGGGTGAAATTACAATGAAACTCCCAGAAATTCAAGACATCATGAATACTATAAACAACTCTACTCTGCTAAAGGGAGAGCCTAGAAGAAATGGACAAATTCCAAGAAACATGTAATCTCATGAATAAAATTATGGTTTCTATTTCTAAGTGTGCCTAATTGTTTAGTCTGTACTCTCATGAGAAGTTAATAATAGTAATTGGTTAGCTGTTACTTATAAATTATGTAGTTAGATTATTTCTAATTTAGTCTATCATAATTGATAGACTTCAAAATTCCTGAGAAAGGCACAATTGATCTATGTAAAAACTTTTTGTGTATCACAAAGTCCACATTCACAACCACACTGTGGGGGACTCTTTTTATAGAGGAGGCGGAGCACACAGATGATGGGGAAAATGAGACTGGAGACCTTGCATGACTCCAAACCATACCCTATCAATACCAAGTACTATCACTTATCAATCATTTCTTCAACAGCTATTTGATGGCTACCTATTACATAACAGTCTTGGGTGATAGGTACAAATACTATAGAAAAAAAATCTGAACTCCCTGCAAAGCCACTAAACAACGGAGGTGGGGATCAGATTTATAAATGTGAGGACAAAAGAAGCCAATGGAATCATAGACACCAAGATACTCCATTTTGGTAAGCAGGAAATGTTACTAAAGGCTTTAGGAGATGTGCCTGAAGAAAATCACAGGAGAATATACAATCACTTGCTGAAAATCTCAAATTCTTTCTAAGTCCTATGTCTATACCTGCAGTTCACTTTATCTGGAGAAGTTCCTTGTTGTGGAGGGAATTCTTCAGATTTCCACTGACTTGAATCCCAAAACACACACTGTATCCAATGGAAACGTATGGAATAATTCACTGCCTTAGCAAAATATTTGTGTTGCAGTTTTCTATCATAGTCAGCATCTAATAATGATAAATACCCCACGTTGTTACCTAAAAAGAGAAAAAAATTAACATATATAACCTGAAAGTTGGAAACAAACAAAAATCATGAGCCTTTACCAAAGAGAGGGCAGAAAGAGTGACTTGGAACTAGGCTAGAATTGAACTAGTAATTTCTCTTCATGCAAACTGTGAATTAAATTAATTCTTATGAAACTCTGGCTACTGTTTTTTTTTGAGATAGATGAATTTTATAAAGGAAGATACAAGATTAAGGGAGAATGCAAGTTTTTTTCAGGGAGAGAAGAATGTCAAAAAGGAAAAGAAAATGATTACACACCTAGAGAGGTGTGGGCAATTCCAAAATAAAGTTCCCCAAGTTTTGGGGTAGTAGCTGACTATATGTGGGTCTTTTTGGCGTTTCTTCTGTTTGGGCCAAGTGTCACTGCTCAGATGCTCTCAAGGAGAACAACTTTTAGCTCAGTTGGTCTTTTCATTCTCTCTTACCAGAGCATCATTCCTGCTTGTAAGTTCTCTCTAGATCTGAGTTCTGAGATGGTAGCAGGATGGATTTTCGTATTTTATCTTGCTTCTCCAAACAATTATTGGATATTTAAATTTTTAATCTCTCCAAACAATTATTGGATATATTTTTAATTAAATCACTGTCAGAAACACAGTCACAAAGTTGTTTGTGATAGGGTTTCAGTCATTGAATGTTCCAATACACATTCCTTCACCAGTGTACATTTCCCACTATCAATATTCTCAGTTTCCATCCAGCCACCCCCCATCCCCCACCCCTGCCCCAGCCTGCCAATCAGCCTCCATGGCAGGTACTTTTCTTCTCTCTCTCTCTCTCTCTCTCTCTCTCTCTCTTTTTCTCTCTCTCTCTCTCTCCTTCTAGGCATTATGGTTTGCAATAAAGGAACTGACAGTTTATCATGTACCTATTCTCAGCACTCAGATCTTGTCCACAGTGAATATTCCCAACTATCATTATCATAAGGGTTCCTTTATTACCCTAATTGCCCTCCCCCTGCCTTTCTGCTTATGGCAAGCTTCCATTCATGGATCAGTCTTCCTGGCCCTTGTCTCTACTGTCCATGAGTATTAGTCTCCTACATTGTTATATGTATGATAAGCTTGATATATCCCACAGATAAGTACAGTCATTCTATGTTTATCTCTCTTCTTTTGACTGATTCCACTCAGCACGATACTCTCCATGTCAATCCGTTTATAAGCAAATTTCATGACTTTTAATTTTTGCCTGGCAGCTTCATAGTGTTCCATTGGTAGATAAATCATAGTTTTTTTTTTTTATCCTGAGAACAGTCTCCTGTTTCCAGATTCTGGTTATTTCTGAACAGTGCTGCAATGAACACAGAAGTGCAGATGACATTTTTGTTGTGTGTTTTGGGGCCCCAAGGTGTATTCTCAGAAGTGGTATTGCAGGGTCATATGGAAATTCAATTTCTAGTTTCTTGAGGAATGCCCATATTGTTAAAGACTGGACCAGTTGGCATTCCCACCAACAATGAGTGAGAGTTCCTTTCTCCCTTCCAGCACTTGTTATTCTTATTCTTTTTTAGTGATGTAGAGCATTTTTTCATGTGACTTTTGGCCATCTGTATCTCTTCTTTGAGGAAGTTTCTGTTCACTTACTCTCTCCATATTTTGATGGACTTGGATGTCTTTTTCTGAAAAAGTTCCACCAATGACTTATACATCTTTGATATCAACCTCTTCATATTTTTTGCTCTTTTTTCAAAAATTAAGTGATCATATATTTAGGGTTTGTGTCAGGATCATTTGATCACTTGACTTCCCCTTAATCGTCGATTTGCTCGAGCAGGCGCCAGTGACGTCTCCATTTGTCCCTGTCCCGTGCTAGTGCAGCCCAATGACGTCTGTTCGTTCTAGGAACACGAAGAGCCTCAAACCAATCGTTCATGGTCTTGATGAAGAAGTCTGACCATCTGGTAGGTGGGTGGCCACGTGGTCTCTAGACATCCCATGGAATCCAGTCGGTAACAGCACTAGTCCAGCGGTCATCTCTAAATCTCATTACGTGACCAGCCGATCTGATTTTTGATGCCTTGGCAAACGAGACAGCGTACCTGATTCTTGATCATTGACAGAGGTCAAAACTCCGGATTCTTTCTCTAATTTGAGTGAAACGTGATATTCCAAGCATAGCTCTTTCAATTCCTCTCTGGGAGACCCAAATAGCGTTCTCATCCTTTTTGCTTAGGGCCCAGGTCTCTGAGGCATATGTTAATGCAGGAAGAACAGTGGAATCAAAGAGATGTGCCTGGAGCCGGAGGTTCTTCGTCCTCTTAGCTACTTCTTCGACACTCTTGAAGGCGTTCCAAGCCGCTCTTTTCCTCCTGCGCAGCTCAGGTGCCAGGTCATTTGTCATGTTGACTTCTCGACCTAGGTACACATAACTGCTGCATTCAGAGATGGTCATTCCATTGAGAGCGAATGGAGCATCAGGAACGAGGCTGTTTCTCATAAACATTGTCTTCGTAAGATTAGCTGTAGTCCGACATTACCGCACTCACGGTCAAAGTCGGCCAGCATTTGTGCCGCTTGGCTAATGTTTGGTGTTATTAAAACAATGTCATCAGCAAAGCAGAAGTGGTGTAGTTGCCGACCATCTATCTTCACTCCCATTCCTTCCCATTCCAGTCGTCGCATGATGTTCTCGAGGGTGACACTGAAGAGTTTTGGTGAAATGATATCACCCTGCCGAACTCCTCTCTTGACATGGATGATTACTTCTTCGTGAAATGATGAAATCCTGGTAGTGAATCCGTAATACAGCTCACGGAGGATCCTGATGTATTGAGTTTCAAAGCCCTGATTGGCTAGGGTTTCAATGACCGCTTCCATTTCGACAGAACCAAAGGCCTTCTTTAAATCAATGAACGTTAGACAGAGTGGCATCTTGAACTTCCGAGGAAACTCAGTGAGCTTGGTTATCTTGTGGATATGGTCGATGGTGCTGAATCCTTTGCGGAACCCAGCTTGCTCGCATGGTTGTCCTTCATCTAGTGTTCTGCTAATCCTATTTAGGATGACTCAAGTGAACAACTTGTAGATGACAGACAATAGGCAGATTGGGTGATAGCTGCCAATGTCATGGATATCTCCCTTCTTGTACAGTAGTACAGTCCTGCTGGTTTTCCATTGGGATGGAAGTTTGCATTCAGACAGATAGCGTGTGAAGAGCTGAGCCAGTGTATTGATGAGTACTGACGGCAGGTTCTTCAGGTGTTCAGGTCTGACCTTGTCTGGGCCGGGTGCTGTTCATTTCTTTACAAACGAAATGGCGTGTCGGATTTTGGAAGGGAGAACATTGGGAATGACATATCCATCCTGTGGAATTTGGTATGTCAGCAGGTGGACATGGCTATCGAAGAGATTTGAGTAGAAGTCCTGGATAATCTTCTCCATTGCCCTTCTGGAAGATGTGATATGTGATAGAGCCATCAGGACGTCAGAGGGCAGTCATCTTGGTCTTGTAGTTGGCGAAGGACAGGTGGGGTTACGAATAGTTTTCCTGGCTTCTGCCTCATCTACTAGCACTTCTGCTCTTCTCTCTTTGAGGTCTTCCTTGATCGCATCTCTGCACTGCTTTGCGAACTCGGACATTCGCTTGCGGTTACCTGAGGCATGCGCCAAACCACGTTGGCAAATAAACTCAAGAGTTTTCAAAGACAGGTGTTTTATTGTGGCTCTCTCTTGTCGTTCCTCGCATAATGATAGAGGTGCTGAACCAGTCAATCGTATTTCTCGTCAATGTCAACAATGGCATCTTCCCATGTTGCTGCAATAGTGCCAAAGAGGTCCCAGTTGGTGGTCGTTCTGAGAGTTCTCTTCTTAACCTTTGCAGCCCTTTCTACCTGCTCTGTGAAGTAGAATTTTGCATGAAGGAGATGGTGGCCCGATCCCATTTGGAATTTTGGGACAACAGAGACATCGGTCAGGCAAAACCGTCGATTGAATATGATGTGGTCTCTTTCATTGTGGAATCGTCCACTGGGAGACTCCCATGTCCAACGTTTAGATTCGGCCTTCTGGAATCTTGAGTTACTATGGATGGTCTTGGTCGACATGATGAACTCAGACAGTCTCTCACCCTCTTCATTCTATTCTAGGCCATGGGTCCCGATATGAAGATCTTCGGATGATCTTCTCAGTTCTATCTTGGCATTAAAATCACCCACAATGATCTTGTAGGTGTGGTCTTCTTTATAGAATTTCTCCAGCTTCATGTAGAACTTCTCAGTTTCTCCTTCATCATAATTGGATGTTGGTGCATAGACAACGAAGACAGAAACTGACAGCAGTGAGCCACATCTATTCTAATGTAAATGTCCAATTTGGGTTGTTAGGCATTCGAATGAATCAATGCTCATGGCCAAGTTTGTGTTGACAAGGACACCGATGCCTCCTACACCTCTTTTATCGCATGTTCTGAGGAACAATTCTTCTCCGGTGTCGAAAACAGCGTGATGAGACTGGTGCCTTCTTGTCTCGGTTAGACCACTGATGTCGTACTTGATCTTTTGCGTTTGTACCATCAGGTCCTCCATGGATGCATCTGATGCTAGCGTACGTGCATTGAAAGTACAGACGATCATTTTTGTCTTCCTCCGTTGTGGCAGCCTAGTTCGGCATTGAGATTTTATTGGCCTCTCCTTTCTCATCTTCTCAATGCTGCCATATTGGTTACACCTTCAGGGTCAGGGGAATGAGACCCATTGTAATTACTGGTTTTGGCATATCGAATACACAACGGATAGTTTGCAAGGCTCTGCTGTGCAGGCGGAATACTCTCAGTAGCTTGCCAGACTCTCTGATAGAGATAGAGGCTTTTGGGGCAGCCTCTAATTGCCCTTGTAGGTGTTACCATGGTTCAAAACGTATTTGAACACTATCAAATATGGCACGGCAATTCTGGAAGATGGGTTTTTAGTGTCTTATGTGTCACGCGGCCACTTCAGGATGTTCAACACATATCCTGAATATGTGTCAGG